TTGTGCTCCTAGTAATTCACATATCATGTTAATATCCAACGAGACAAGATGGTACAGCATAGACCCTATCAATTGTCTGCTCCAATATCGAAGCTGATTCCAAATACACTATGGTTAGTCGTGTGAGTGTTAATTCAAGAAATACTGCTCTTTCCTTTTGAGTCCAATTTCTCCTAGTTTATTTCAAATTTGGTATCCGGGGCAAAAAAGATATATAAGGTGCTCCAAAAAAGGTGTATACATTTTTCACTGTCACAGAAAATATATTTTGTAATTCATGATGGTAGACTTATACGAATAGAAGTGCTACAGTATAATTTGAAAAACAAGTACATTTTATAGTCAAACTGAACATTCAAAATGCGGACTAAACTGAATATCTAAAATGACAGCTTAAATTGTGAGAAGAGTAACGTCGTTTTTTATTAAGAGTCGACGGTAGAATTGTCGAAATATCGTCTAAGAGCGAAATCCCGCACGACAATCCCATACATATGGTAAAACAACTGAGTTTTGGAAAGCAAAACCACGTTATTAACTGGTACTGGAAATTGAAGGATAACACCATTGTTTAGCGACAGAGAAGACGTGGGTTTTCTGCATGCTTTCCAGACTTTAAGCCGCTCGATTTTTTTTCATAATGCAGGGTAAAAGATAGCGGAAACCTGAAACACTTGCAAGGAAAAATTCCATCGGGCACTTTGTTTCAATGTACGGAAGCACTTGTCACAAGCATATACATCAATAATAAAGTCCACTATTTTGATAACTTAATTAGCGTATGGAACATCCAGTTTGGTCAAAAAATGTAAGTCTTTCTTTAATTGGAGTGTACCCCTTCTTTCCCAATGAGTTAAATCTTTTAAATTAAAAAATAAATTCTTTACAATAGTGCAAAACGTGTATATATTTTTAACCCATCCTCTATATTAGGTAAGACATTAACATTTTATGTTAATTATACTCCCCTTTACAAGTTGAGGCCAGAGCATCAAACGCTTTCTAAGAGTTATGTACTTACGATTTGCGTTACGATACCTAATTCCATTATTAATGACTTGCTTGAAGAATCGACGGTAAGATACATTAAGACAAGTAATGCCTTTTTTAAGGCAAGGAAACGATAGAAATCACATAGACATATATATGAGGAACATGGAAGCTAAAGATATCCTTCTATTCTGCTTTTTTTTCGATTCATTTTGCAATTGAAGGCTTGCGATGAAATCGTATGTTGCACACATTACATGCTGTCGCTTACCACGTCATATCCCACAAAACTTCGTACGAATTCGAGATATGTAGCAGCATTTCATTTTCTTTCCTTTTCGACGCCATCTTTTACCCTACTCTCCTTCTAGTAGGCGGTGCTAAACCATATTCCGCCTGTGGCGTAGAGTTTTTGTCGATTTTAGTTGCACAAATTGTATACTTGCATCTGAATCAAACTCAGTTTGTACAGAGCCTTTTTGCTTCTTTTTTTCATCCTTAGTGTCTTTGTCAACTTTTCATAAACTATGCTTTAAAGGGTTTCATATTGACTTTACAAAAAACGCGTTATCTATGCTCTGTTCTAAAGATCTGGTGATAACAGCAACTAATTCTTCCGGAAATGTAATTACACCCTTTGCGAATCTCAATTTCAGTTCGAAACCGATTGTCCCGATAACACACGGTTGTTTCGCTGAGGCCCTCCTTATCCATCGTTTTCACCGATCTTTGATGGATACCATTTATTGCTCTCACCTTCAATGAATAGAAACTTAATCACTATACGTTGATTTTCAGCATTAAAGGATGTTTTTGTTTTTCAGTCCACTGTTCTCCGATAACACTTAATCCGCTCATACTCGTGAACAGCCAGTAGAAATAGAAGTAGAAGTAAATAACTATTAAGTTTCGTCTGCTAACTATGTGTAGTTCAAAAGTGATTTAAAATGTTTGACCTGTTAAGTAGTTCCGGACTAATATATTAACTGCACTGTGTATTCATGCGCAGGTTTCCAACCTTAAAAGCCGCGCATTCTCAATGGACCACGTTATAAGTCTGTTCTCCGTAAAGTGAATAGAATGGCACCATGACCTGCTCAATATTGAAGCGCTTTGCCTGCTAATACATATGCTATTTGTCTGGCTTGAGCATAATGGGCGACTACTGAAGTCTGATGGTGTTCATAGCTAATTTAAGAAGTTTTTTGATGCATGAACTGGCGATTCTTTTGAGTTTTTAGCAATATATCCTGAATTTCGTAATCATTTGTTGCTTTTGTATCATAAATATATTGGGTATCAGTCTTTGGGTCTCGAAGCCTTTTCTTTCCTAGTTACACTGAAAACTTCGGGTTCTCCTACGAGGATGACATCAACATAGTACTTGAACTTCACCATTCCTTTATTTACATTTATAAGGACATATGAACTTTCTTGTGATTTACCGCTATCAATCAAAAGTCTGCAAATTTAAAATCCATATAATTTTGTAATATTGTTATGCAATTGAGGTATGCTTGAAACTTTTTTAAACTGAACGGCGACGTTTACAATTTCTTTTAGCTAGTCAATCAACTTTACATAGAAGTAGTTCCATCTCCAAAATATTTAAATTGTTTGTTGTTTATCACTTACGTGATTGTCCGATTTCTTATGTAGACTGGCAAAAATACATTATCTTTGTAAATAAATTAAATTTGGTATATTAAAATACGTATATTCTTGGCGAATCGTTTTCTACAAATACGGCGGAATGCCGTATATGGACGGAAATATGTATATAATACATATTTCAGCATTCCGTATAGAAAATAATATAACAACCTGCCGGGTCAGAATGTCTTTTGTAGGAATTACCATAGTGTGAAAAAAAACGTAATTTCGTCTAATTGACAGCATTTTATCGTTAGAGTTTCTTTAGAACGGTTGCACAGGCAGTGGTTTCCTCCTGTTCCTTATATTCATTGTCAACTCCATGACCTTTCGTCCTACCTATTAGTTCCGATATACGAAGACAATTTTATTGCTGTGTTTAAGTATTCATAAAAATGGCACCAAGGATTATACCTGGTAACTGTCCATCAGGAATCGGACAACTTCCTTTTTGCCGAAAATCAACGGCCGGCGTTATTGCTTCTTCACTTGTACCTTTTAAAAAATCCAAGGAAGATTCCAACAAAACAAAGCGGAAGATTTTCACTAAAGTTGGCATTTAAAAAGCACGGAAATTAATCAAAATGATACAAGAAACCGTTTCTAATAGTCCCGGATTTTGGATTCAGAGATTAACGGATATTTTCGAGAAGATAACTGTATAACTTTATCAAACTTGAAGGGATAGTCTTTTTGAGATTTTACATTTTTTTACACCTTCCCATCATTTCAAACGCTTGTATTTTTGGAATCGTTAGCCTGTTAATAGCCTAAAATTTAATTGCGCTGGATTCTTTGCATAAAGTGCGTTTAAGCTAGACTCAAACAAGTTCACATTTAGCAATATCGTTTGACTCACGATCACTACTTGGAAGTGCTTCTCGGAGCAAAGAATGGATATTTCGGGAATTTTGGAAGTAAGTGGTCTAAGTTTCGAATTGAAGCTGTAATTAAGGTACAAGTAGAATATACTTAATCATGCTTGTTAAAACTGATGCTTTTTAGCAATTGCAAAAAGTTGTTTAGACACTTCTAAAAGACTTCTAAGTAAAAGTCCAAATTTCAACAGAGTATTGTATCAAATGTATCCTACATAGTAGAATATATTTCGCATCTACAGCAAGAGCCAAATAGTAGCTTCGCTAGACTATCAATAGACAAGACACAACAATGTGCACAACCCGGCGCTCATAGTGTTAAGGAAATTTCAATGACATGATCGTTGCAACTGTGCCGAACCGCCGGATTAGCCCTCTCTTGCGCCTCCACACTCCCGTCACGTTGTACTGTCTATTCTAGTAACATCGCAGATAGCACACCGTCCGTAAAAATGCTTGTCTGACCTATATGTGTATTAAAGGGTTTCAGAGGGGATTCAGAACAGGTCAGACCTAGGATAAAGCGAAGCTCTGTTAGGTTAACTCTTCTGGAACAGGACCCTTAGGAATGGAGCGTCGATAGTAGAGGAAGTGGGAGCAAGGTAAAGCAGCGAGTGGATAGGTGATGATCGCTTTTGCATAATTGTCGCGTATTGGAACTGCCATTTAATGTATTAGGTAGTCGACGCTGCCGGCAATCATACCTTCATCACCCTGTGTGTACCGCCCTGACAATGCTTGAAGTTAAAATGGCAGCTCAATTATTAATAAGAATGCAGAACACGTGCTTAGTCTTTGGCGGCAAACACCACGGTCAAGCCAACTTACCCCTTGAATAGATAAAAAGGCGCACGTCAAAGGAAAGCGAGTCTCTGTCAAGCAGGCGGCGAAAGGTTTCTATCCAAGCTGTATAACATAGATAAATTAATAGGTAGGGGCGACAGTTGAAGAAAGAGAGGCATAATAATCTATCCTTATACCGACAATTATCTCCATACGTTCTTTACATAAACATTAGAATAGGCACTTCAGCATAGTAAGGTTGGTAAAAAATAGTACTATAGAAATGCACCTCATTTGCTACCAGCTCTACACCGTTAATGCAAATTCTGAGCTCGCTGATTCTTTCATTATAATAGGCGGTTCTTTAAAGGCTTCTTCTTTAAATAGGTATGCTCGGAAGTTTGTTGTTGTAAAAATGATGCTAGTTCACATTGTAAATTATTTCCTATTTAACAATTGTTGACCAATAGCTGATCTAAATACTTTCATTCTCGAGCTTTAATGTTTCTTACGTAAATAACGATTTAATGTATTTTAACAGTTCTACTTGGCGAAAATGTACCTTCATTTATTCTGTGCGTAAATCCATACGTTCGAATACGGTTATTAAATTCAGACTCAGTTTGAGCAAAAAAAGGTTTAAAAAGTGGTGGCCGCTATCCAAATGTACCGTAACGATCATTTAAAAGAAATACTAATAACATCTAAGCCATAGTCTTCACAAATCACTTATATATTTATTCGAACTTTTATATTTACATAATTGCTATATAACAACTTCCATTCGAGACTGTAAAATACTTTGCTTTGAACCTACACATCCGTTGCTCCTCTACTACTTTCTTTGTATTCCTGATTTTTGGCTTTGTCGACTTTTAACTTACTCTTGCCCGACAAACCACTTGAATATACAAGATTACCTTTCACTTTGTTTGGGTTTAAACCATAGGCCTTCATTCTTGCTTCGCTCATTTGCAGTTCCTCCAACCGTCTAAATTTGTTTTTACGCCTCGTTGCATCTTGCATCTTCTGTTTGTTAGTCTCGGCTTTTTTACGCTTTTTTATCATTGCGTTTCGGCGGTTTTTCTTCTGTTTAGCCGTCAGCTGATCCCATGGAATAGTATCAAACTGAGACGTCTCAGACGACACGACCTTGAAACCTTTTTTAGCCTTTTTCGCCTTTCTATCAAGGCTCTTTTTAAGGATTTGCATGTTTTGTGTCTTCTTATCTAAGGACTTCTTTTGTATATTACCAAAGCGTTTACCTTTTTCATGGGACTTTTTTACAAATTTTCCACTAGTTTCGAGTTCTGTTCGCCGTTGATCTTTTTTGTTGTAATCAATTTTTTTATTAGTTTTTTTAGCGTTGCCTTTCTCTTGTTCCTGTTCATCTGTGTCGGACCTAACTGGTTCACTAATACGATGCTCCACAGACGACATTTCTGCTATCTTCACTTCATCAGTGACACGAGCATCTCCCCCTTTGGCAACCTTCGGTTTCTTCTGCTCAGCCGTTCCCGCCTCTCTATCCATCGGACTTCTCTTCCGTTTTTTGGATAAAGCCTTTTGGATGTCATCTTTATCAATACTACTTTTACCATAATTTTTATCATCAAAGTCTTCGTTGTGATCACCTTCTTGGACATTGTCCTCGTGATCAGTTTCAACCTGCTGTGTGGTACGTTGCTTTTTCTTTTTATTTTTTCGGCTTTTGGACTTCGGTTTTGGCTCCAACGTTGTTTTGGCTTCTGCAGCTTCGTGTACGATTTCAGCATCAGGACTCTCTATATCCGTAGGGTATACCTAAAATTACGAGAGAAAAAGAGAAGTTGAGCAGAATATTTTTCACGGTTTGAACATAATTTATATTTGCTTTCTGCGTACATTAAGGGCTAATGCATTTAATGTATCGCGACTTATGATAACCTAAGCCCAAATGGACAGGCAGTAAAATATTGGTCAAATTATACAGTAAAACATCTCTCCGGTCAACTTATCGAAAGCACTCATATTCTGTTCCTATATCTGTACAACGTAACCATGTCTTAGACGAATGAAAATTCATACCGAGGCGAGTATCTTCTGCTTCAAGTGCATGTGGTCTTTTCTTTTATTGTAGACATGAAGATCTTTGTTTTCTTCCTCTTCAGATCGATACTGAACCATTTTCTTCAAAGTACACCACTTGTTTAACTCTTTATCATGCGCATTGAGGATTTCTTCTGTTGAAAGACCAAAATCGTTAGGAATGACCTGAAATACAACGAAGAGTACGCAGATGGCTTTTTAAGAACGTTGAATACCTTATATTTACGTAAATAACTTGAAATTAACATTTTAGGCAATACACGCTTTGCGGTTACTTAGCCTAAGTAACTTATCGATCATCTTCATTGTAGACTGATTACTGATTTCAGTGAATTGTATTCTGGATCGTCTACTTGCTTGGCGGTACTTGAAACGGGTCTGTAATCCCCCGACGACATCTTCAAAATCGAGCTTGTAGTATTCATCGAAATACTTCTCGAATTTTTGGTCTCGCTCAGGATCGAAAGTTGGCTTATTCCTCGCTAGTGCCTATAATAATAATAGTTTATAACAGAAAATTTTATAAGATCAGTAAATTTCCTTCTTCAGTGGAATCGAAATAACCCTGAAAGAATGAAAAATACTTTCTATCAGATATAATATTGTGAATTCGCAGAAAATCAATTAAATGTCAAAGCTAATAGGCCTTAAAATTTGCAATAGGTTACAACACTGTTTTTAAATTTAAAAAAAGCGGCACAATAAACGATTTATAAACCTCGAATCCTACAAAGCATAGCAAAAATACACATATTTAGCGCACCTCTGCAAATTTGGATTTCCTCCGTTTCTTTTCTTTGTTTTGCGGCAAAATATCTCGAAGTGTCAGCTTGGCCGACTTTTTACCTCGAATCAAAAGCTTCCCTGGAACATCAAATTTTCGAAGTTTGTATTACCAATTCTTTAACTAATTATTTTCGAATTCAAAGGTCGAGCCTTATTATTTACCAGAGATTTTATAAACTACCAGTGTACCGCTCAGGATTGCCGTTCAAATTGTATTCTACTTACTATTAATCTAAATTTTTGCTTTTATGACGAACATACTGAATATTTTTTTGTCTTGAAGACAATTATCTCGTAGATACCTAATTTTGACGAAGATGCTTGTAACTCATTACACACCTTCACTTGTTCGTTCAATGCCATCTGTCTCCTTTCTTTGAATCACATTGTTTTCATCTAAATCGCTGGAGTTGACATTACCGTGACCAGTTTCAATCGCTTCGCCGCTACTAGATAGATTGGACTGGGATTCAGCCTTCTACCAATTTTAATAAAAAAAAAAACGTTAAGTGTTGTCGTTGACGTTCAAGATATCCGACTGACAAAGTAAAAATATGAGTTATATGAGATGGAATACTCACGGCATTTGACTCTTTATGCTTTCGTAAAACTCCTACGTCGCAGCCAGCTGAGTGCTGCACATGAAACTTACTTCAGGAACTTTCGACGACTGGATCGACTGAGAAAGTCCACTGAACCCAGGTGCATGATCTTTCTCAAGGTCGTTATACTGGTCTTCGTTATCCTCAGAGCCTTCATCCTCAAACAGAATTTTTTCACCTTCGTACTTATCCCAGTCATCATAACGAAGATCGTCCAGATCGTGATCATCCTCTTCTAGTTCTGGGTAGAAATCTTCCCCAGCCTCTTCGTCATAAGAGGCGAACAACTCTACCATACGGCGATCGTGCTCCTCGGGATCAAAGTCACCTTTAATTTATATTGACGTCTTAGTTAGAATGCTATCTCATGCAGCAAATAGAAGGCTCGGTTAATTCAATAGTTGTTATGGCAGTATTCAACATGCTTAGACTAATATCCGCACATAAGGCATTTTACAAACCAGATTTGCTAATTATTTCTTATTCAAACTACCTATCCATGATTCCAAATAATTCTTTGCTCACTCGTAATAAAAAAAAGTAGTTTTAAATTAATTTATCATTTTATGCTGGTATAGTGTACTCCATTTCATCTGTATAAGTTATTACATAGAGACAAATCGCTTACCATCAATATCAGCATCATTAAACGCTATATCTGCGTTTCCAGCAATATTCTTAAGTTTATCAATCTTACTTAAGATCTCTTTCTTTTTCATACTTTTTAATCGATTTATTTCCTCTCGCAGCTGCACCCGTTCTTGTTCTTTACGAGCCTTTCTCTCAGCTTTTTTATCTGCACGTCGAGTATCTTTTCGACGCATAGAATCCTCAATTGTTCGAGGATACCTAAAAATGAATTCATACGTTATGTATTAGATTTTTTTCATCTTTGACAAATACATGCAAGGGGTTCTTTTTCGAAGCCGATTTGCTCTGAACATTGCTGTATATATATGAATTGGCTACCAAATTTTGCTGGATTCTTTAGTGAACTATGTCCGTAATATTGTAATATTTGCTGCCACAGTGGGGAGTACGTAAATCATTACAAGTTTAGCCAGAATGTAATTTCTACTTATGAATGCTTTCGTAGGAGATGTTTGTTTTATACCTTTATTCCTTTTTTTTGTTTCTTAGAACCACTTCTTAAGTTAGCGCAACGTCTTACACTTTTGTGCCCTTATCTCAAAAAATGAAAACTCTAAAAAGATCCCGCTTAGCCCCATCGACCTAATTGTAGATAAGCTGCTCTTCTAGTGCTAATATAGGTTTTACCCATTCGAGTCCAAGGTGCAAAAACCTACTAGGATTTTTCTCAAAAAATTCTAATTAAATATTAAAATTACTTTTATAAAATTATAACATTAAAAAGTTCTAATTAATACATTTTTATTATTCTTAAAATACATAAAGGAACTCACTTTTGTCGAGTCAAAAACACTAAAAGAATCATTCATCTTAGACCCTCCCCAATATCTACTAATCAAAAGTCTAAAACTAAATTGTACATTCGTACCGTTTGATAAAGTCGGGATCAGGATCCTCAAAACGGAAATTGTACTTGTGTTCAAATTCGTTCATCTCTTCGATATCTTTTTCATCTTCACTGAAATCGACTTCAAACTTGAAATCATCGTCCTTCGAAGTGAGATACCTAAAAAATATATTAATATGTATAACTAAGTCAATTGTCAAAAATTTGGTGTGTTAGTATTCGTGCATGCTACCTTGATACTGGATTTTTAACAATTAAAAGACGTGTCATTTGGATTTGAATAAATGCGAAATACCAGACAACTTTACCTTTTGTTAAGCACATAGTCGCGTAGGAACTTCTCTGCTTCGTCTAGTTTTTCTTCACCAGCTTCAGTCCACAACCGCTTTAGCTCGGCCAGTTCTTTAGCCTCTTTTTTATTTGACAATCGATCGGTTTCACCTTTATATTATAATTCAGTTCTCACGTGTTATCATCTCAATCACATATAATTAGGAAAATATCAGGAGTCAATACGCATTTTTATTTTATTCTTACCTATACGAGCTGCTCCCTGTCGTTGCAATATTAAGAAAACGAACATCAAAATAAGTGTCACTTATTTGTTAACTCATCATATGTCTTCCTTAATAGAGTCAATTTCGCTTATCAAAGATCAGACCAGATATATTGCTAAAATATTCAATTAGTGTTCTATGTACGCCTTTAATTGAAAAGACTACACTTTAATGTCTACTGTATTATTTATGCATGCCTTATGCAAGTTAGAACAAATGTCAATACTATCTTAAATTTATTATACATGGGTGAAGGGTGGAGATATATGTTGTAATTCGTTATTTTTTCAAACTCCGCCGCAGACCTTTCAGCCATTTCACATATTCTTCCTCCTCCTCTTTGATTTCTTGATCCAGCTTTCGTTTTTTTCGGGAAACAAGCCCACCAGCAAGATCATTGTTCTCTCCGGATTCATCATCATCCGTTTCCCACGCAGCCGCTTTAAGGCTATCCCTTAAAGCCCGCTGTTCGTCATTATATGTGAGTTTGTCTTGGTGGGTTTCGTCGATCAATCGTGCTCGAGGACCTTGGATTTCTTCATCATCAACATAAATACCTCCTGTAATACAAACATAATACAAAGATTTCACAGTATAATTACTTAGAACCATTAAACATGGGACCATTATATGGAACTCAAAAGAAATTTGTGAGTAAACAAACAACTTCAGCACGATTTGATTATCAGACATCAAATACAACAACATTCTATAATCAGCGATAACAATGCAATACAAACCTTCCTCGGATATGATTTTCCTCTCGTAGTCCTTAAGTGTCATTTTTTTTTCTTTAAATGAAGCAGCCTTCGATTTGTTATCCTCACACCCAGCCTCGCCCGTCAACTCCCCTGCTTGACTGACTTGATTACTCTCTGACTGCACATCGCCGAAAATTATCTCATTTTTTTTGTAGATCCTTGGATCGCGCCCTTTTAAAGCACTAAGTGTCGCAAGAAACTTCTTTTCATGTTCCGATGTCCACTGTCTAAAATAAATATTCCGCAACGATGCCGAAATCAAAGGTACAAAAGACCAAAATAAACAAATAAAAAGAACAACAAGGGCGTTCTTAGATTCCTAACCGTTCGCGGTATTTCGACGAGCACCTTAAATGCATTACTACCTGGTCTTGAATATATATCATAAGTCAGAATACAAATAAGTTATAACTTTTACATAATACTAATAATAAAAGCAAGTGACATTATCAGACTTTCACTACTACAACTACGAGTTGCTGTAAGGCACTTGCTTTCAGACAAACCTTGCTTCTTCGTCTTCCTCTTCAGTATCGCTGGATTGGCTGCCAAATGATGCTTCAAGATCACTGCCATACCGAGCTTTGGCTTTCATTAGTTCTTCTTTACGTCTCCAATCATCGTAATGTCGAGCATAAGCGTTGTCTGTCCGCAAAACATTACCAACATCTTCTTCACTGCTACTGCATCCGGCAAATAAGTCCGTCATATTTGCCTTTTCATAAAGAACCATAAAGTAACCAGTTTAGTACATATTTTCAAAAAAAAAACAGTTATAATTGTCAGATAATCTTTTGAATGGTGGAAGTAGACACTACGGCGTGAAAGCACAATCAGATGGAAAGCTTATTGGTATATTCAAATAAATAAAAGACGGGCGTCACAGAAAAAACTTACAAAGCTGTCTCATTCTCTCTAAGGTGTCTCACAGCTAACAGCAACAGTCTTTAGATAACTACGAGTTAAAGCCATTTTTCAATAATGTGTAATTTACACACATTATTCACCTACAGAGATTACTTATTTGGTTACAAGGATTTTTCATCAAAAATGAAAAGTAACTAATGAAATGAGACCGACAGCAGTTAGCCAGTTAGAAAAGGGTTTAATGAAGGCTTCCAATACAGCTTTTTCAAAAAAGATTCCTACTGGCTAGTTTACGACAAAAATTAGGATATGTGCGGAAGTATGATGGCCTAGCGGTCATGTATTTAGCACTATGTTTCCTAGTAAAATTGACAGTACAATCTTCCGGAACTAAATCAGCGGGAACAGCATTGACGTAATGTGCTGTAAGACCTTACAGGCTAAAGCTTAAGTGCTAATCATACAAAAAGTGTTGACAGTGAACCAAAGTTTGCACTGAGTGCCATTAATACCGCTTATTATTTATTGTTTTTGAATAAAAATCTAATCTCACTATATCTATTTTGTCGCCTTAACAAGAGTGTTTATTGAATAAAGACTCAGCTACTCGAATTATTTGTAAAAACGTTTCAAGAACAAAATCTAGGTACATACCGGTCGAACCTTCAAAAAAATAATTTCAATAAACTGCTTCGTAAGTTATTACTTAAACCACAAGTATCATATCACAGACGAAGGTGACAGAACCAACTGACAAAATCCACCACTGAAAAAAGCTCCGGATCTCTGCCGATAATTCGAACATACGTGCGCATGTCTATAAACAAACAACATGAGTTCGAAAACAATTGACACACTAAAGAATTTGAAAAAGTGCGCCAAAAAGGAGGAACATTTTTTTAGTTATTTAGGGCCAAAAAATCTATTTAAATATTTAGTACATTACTTGTACATTCTCCTTACTTATCGAGAACTCTTAAACAGCTATGCAAATCTACGCTTATCATTTATACAATAAAGGCTATACACAAAATTAATATTTTGAAAATAATTCCTAGTAGAACTGAGAAGGCAAAAATCAAGCTATCATTATATGGCTAAGGTTGCTGTAGTGCTAAGTGGGCTTAACTTATTTTAACTAACTAGACCACCATCGTTGATACAGAAGGTTCATTTGTTTTTTAAATGATAAGAAAATATTTGTACTATACATACTTTGTTAATTCTATGATATGTGCACCTAACAATTGTGTCTCGCGCTCTCGTCTCTCTCCAATGATACAATCCAAACGGCCGGAGGCCGTAAACTACTATCTGTTTCTTCATTGATTGTTTACACAGTTTGCATTAAACTGATGTACATAAATGATATACTATTTTCGATTTGTGGAAAACCCTGTATCTTCTATTAATCAGTAAAGTTCTCTGCTTATACCATTCATATCTGACTAAGGTATATTTGTGATATATGCTTGCGATGACCATAAACACGGTCTTTTGCTCTACAATTCAAATGAATCGCCAGGAAGTGTTTGCTCGGCAGCGTAATTCTCGCATGTACAGTACTTTATCCCGTATAATTAATCTTCTTCTACAGCAAAGATGACACTTGAAAAGCATCAATGGTAGTCATTGTCATAATATAACAATATAAGACATTTTAAGGTATGCACACAGAATCGAATGCTTATGACCCATGGCACAACATTGCTGATACAGAAATAGTTTTTTTTCGATCTTATGCATTCAATCTCAATATGCGTCTTATTGTAAGTCCTAAGTCCGCGTAAGGTGCTAGTTAGACCTAGTGAATAATAAAATGAAAAGATTTTGATATCTCACTTGTGCTAGCAGAGCGCCTGACCAGTCATAGTTGCTCTTGCTATCTATCAAATGCATTCACTTTGTGGCGGCAAAGCTATCGAATGTTTTCATTTTATGAGGATACTTGCGTCTTAAATAATAACCTAGCCTGAAAGGAAGATGTTTACTAGTGCACGGAATGTAAAAAGACGAAAGGAGTTATTATGTTCTTTGTTCAGTTAGCAGATGAAAACAAATCTAGTAATAGCGTGTTGGCTACAGGTAGGAGAATTTAATGGCAACTTCAAATATTCTGCGAGTGGTCTGCAGTGGTACGGTACATTTGGAAAAGAAAAATGCGTTTTACCAGGTATGCACAGTCATCTAATTTAGCCACTTGTTTGGTAATGGTTGAGCGGTAGATTTGATGGAGCATGTACGTCGTGTCGTAAATTTTTATTGAAAAAGACTCCTAATAATTTAATAACAATAAATAATAGCCCCAATCTCTACATTGATTTACGAGCAAACGACAAGAAACTGACCCTTTCAAATACTTCAGAAGATGTGCGGGTAACAAAATCGTCCACATGTAAATTTTATGTATTATCATAATGCCTTTGTTAGGAGTATTCCAATATTCGTGGAGATGAGCAGAGAAAATATTACTGCAAAGACCTTGATCGACACCGCCTATTTGTATTGTATCCTGCAGCGTTATGATACAGAACTAAAAACAAAATCTAGATGCTTGGATATTTTTTTTTTTAATTTTTAGAAACAAAACTATCTTGAGCTTTCAGGGCTGTTTCGTACAAGCTTCTTGTTTTCTCTATGGATATCCTCTCTTGATAAAAAGATCTAAATAAAAAAGTCGGTATTCAATGTCTTTCCAAACAAAAAGCTTCAATTTCCATTTTTCGTCTTGAGTCATTCCTGAAGTCATTAGTATACTACCCGTAGCACACTAACCTTCTTTACCAATGGGTTTACGAGTGGAAATCACAATTAAAGAGAATAAATCTTAATTTTTCGTCTTATTCATATGCGATTACTAACAGGTAATTTCGCCTTATATTACTAAACTCTCCTCGTGCGGAGCCGTACCCCGCTGCAATCCCACTGCATTGAACTCTCGTAACCTTCGGCGCTTAATTGAATCTTTCGAAGAAGATGTCGCGCCAGATATCGACGATGAACTGGTATGAAGTGTTCGTTTTCAATTCAGTTGTTTGTGTAAATATTACAAAACATACAAGATGAACTTCTGCCACTTGTTTTATTTGTTGGTATTACTCACTCCAGTTTCCTAGTTTATTGCCGTCTTCTGCACCACACCTTCTAGATCGCACGTATATTAAACAATTCCAGAATGGTTATGTACAATATTACAGCGCCGAAAATGCCGAGTACAACTTGCTGTCCTGGAGAAGCTTTATACTGCCCTGGAAATACTGGAACTACAGGGAGTTAAAGCAGCGGCAAAGTTTCTATCAGGTACAACGTAGATGAACAATCGTTTTAGTATCGCTTTAGTACTTTATTCGTTCAAAAGCCTATGTTCACAAGCACATTTATCGATCCACTAAATGCAATATGCATCATTGATTTATATTATATTTAGTAGGAATAAACAAATTGTTGCAGAGCTAATTGACGGATGTCACAATGACACGAACGAGGCTCTTCGCCTTGAGATGATAAGCAATGAGGCTTTGATGCAGCTTCATCTTGATCTAAACAGCGAAAATGGCGCGGCTCAGAGTAATGGACCTACTGCTGGTTTCGATGATTCGGTGATGCGAGGAAAACTCAATAAGTTGGCTGACATTCTTGAAAAGCATCTTCGTCATAGCGTAACACGTTAGTATATGAACAAGAAGGTCAAACGTTAGTTCTGGTTATGTTTATTACTAATTGAAAATTAATCTAGGATATCTTTGCTCTTTTATATTAATATTTAGATATTAATATTTATAATATTTAGAATATCCTTGGTGAAATCGATCAGTTATATCGCAAATTATAATTTTTATAAATTCTAATCTTATAAATCGAGTTTATTTTCTTTTATTTCAAGTATGTAAACCAATTTCAGTATACTATACATACTCTTTTAAAATACCCTGCGTGTATTTTGCTGCCCTATAATCAGGTGGAGTTGGCAAAAACTCCCAAATTCACTAAAATTAGGCACCTAGTTATCGCCTACAGGTATAAATGAGTTCATAAGTTTTTGAACTACTAGGTTTAAGATAATAGATCAATTTCTTTGTGTCTTAGACATACTCTCAACTGGGTTTTAAGTAAACTTGCGGTAGTGTAAATTAAGTATATCCTTAAATATTCCTTAAATATGCGAAATATGAAGTGTTTGTGCCCACAATAGACGTTTGACATCTCTGATTCGGATGTAGCGCGACAGTTTTATATTGAACAAATTAAATTCTTAAACAATTTCAGTAAGTCGTATCCTGATCGCCGTTCCTTCGGCCGCGCTGTGCGAGGAAGTTAACAAAATTCTCCTAGCAATGCCCCGCATCGCTTCGTCATTTGTTTACGACGTTCGAAAATATTCAAAAACGATTCACAAGAACTTTCTCGACTCACAGTACAACTGTATTGTTGTAAGTGTAAATACCCATTCGATTTATGCTAGTGTATCGAGTACGGATATTTCCAAACTTTGCAGTGGACGCTTCGCACCTCCTATTACCACTTAGAGTACTGACCGTACCTTCAAAATCTTATATGAGCGAAATTTATATGAAGAAAGTTTTATCTGGTAAAATCATTAAAGAATGCGTAAGCAATATTTTTCGACATGAAGCGTTACGTATTGCCCGTGTTACCATGTAATTATTGGAGTATAATATCTTTCTCTCTCTAGAGAAAGGGAATTGCTATATATAGAAGCTGCTTAATTTTTGTCTTGCAGGTGGTCTCAGATCCATCAACTAATGAAGCTCCGACACTTGAGATATCTGGGATTGATCTTGCGATCTGTCTTGACGTTCCTAAAACCGCCCTGCGGCGAGTTCCCAAGTGGAAAGGATCCGTTTATATGCTGCTAACAAGCGTTGAAAATCGAGTAGGTAAAATAATCGATTACAATGAAACCTCCTGCAAGTACAAAGAAAAGTGCACTTTAAAAAAGAAAACAATCAAATTTATTACTGGTCGAACCTGCAGGCTTCGCTACGTGCCTTTATCGTCAATCAGGTTAATTTTATCTGTTAATGTTATGCCCGATCTATAGTAAACTATAGTGTACACCAACATTTATCCTCTTGATCGATCTTACCCATTACTTTTTTACAGTGATTTATTATCAGTCTGTTCTAATATAAACAGATTTGATCCGTGCGATCAAATCGGACCCGCGGCTCGATAGGATCGAACGGATCCAATTAAACGCATTTTTAGATGTAGAAAGTTAATTATAGAATAGCTGGTGATTAGGTTATAATATTGATAAACATAAAATCTGATAGTTTTTTTTTACAATATAGTTTACACACAATTTTCACGCAACACAATTCTCCTGTAAAACAATTCGACTCTGAAGTTGGCCTGAGTGGCCATATTTATGAAGATGTGTCCTGCTGGCCACGTCATTAATTCGCGCACACGCATATACAAGCGTAAATTAGATGATATGTCGGCGCAGACGGATGCTGATAACCGTCGTGGTGCTTTGAGGGGTGACATCATCTGTGTGGGTGACGCGCATTTTTTTAGTGGGTTGTTTGGATAATCATAACTAACAAACATCCTGCAATGCTGGTTCAGATCTCAGCCTAAACATTCTTATATAATGTTAATAATCGAAAGGAAAATAAGGAGTAAAGGAAGAATAAGAAATTAAGGAAGTGAGATATTATTATTAAGGTTAATAGCTGCTTTTATGGTCGCCTTGCGGTTTCATATGTCGGCTAGAGAAAGCTTAGACAACTTCAAGGTGACCTACTCCGGTTAGATTCCTTATGGAAACAAGTCTTTGATGATATGTCTGAACTTAAGTGATTCTGAAGGCTTAGATAGGGTAAATAATTGGTAGCAAAACGCAAAAATGTTGATGCGGCATTGTTTTCAAATCGCGGAAGTGTGAAAAAAGTTGCTGCACTTGGTTTACGAGCAGTTAAACTGATATCAAATTCTATGGGAAAAAAGACACTTTTGCCTCTAAAAAAAACGTATTTATCCAATCGGCTTCATCTTATGCGTAGTTCGTTTCACTTCAGCCCGCGACAGTCAATTGTACGAAGCTCACCTGGAAGCAAACGAATAAAAAAATTCTATAGGGATAAAAATATTATTCATCTTTAACTAAACAGTCTTTTTCAAGTATACCGTTGAAAGTGAGCGCATTTTTTTAGGCTACCCCACATATGTATAGGCTAAACAAATCTTTTTTACTAACTCAAGTTAACGCAAGCTAAATTAAGAACGACATCATATTTTTGTTGCAGTCATTTCTCGAAAAATCATTATTTGTAGACGAACCTAGTTCTAAAGCATCTAAAACGGGCTGTTACTCTATGAACCTGAAAAGTAGCCTGGCGAAACAAGCTGCACGTGGACGTAAAGGATACCTTACTAAAGAAGAGCAGGCCCTTTTCGACAGGAATTTTCGCTGCGATATAAACGTTCTCCTACCAGAACGAGGTATTTCTTAACAAATACATCATGATAATAATCCTATGACTTTCTGTAATGAGGGAAAGAAGCGGGCACCGCAAAATGAGATTGACTCTGCATTATTTTTAACTGTCCCGTTATTTATGGGAAAAGTCTAACCGGCAGACCCAAATTTTGGATTCGGAAGTCTTCATCCAGGCTTAGTTGTATCCTTTCAGAAGTCGTGCTAATAGATTTTTATTTATTGAATAGTCAAACGTACTTCAAATAATGTTTTATGGTTTAGGATTTATACAGGTCAATAGTCAACGATGTTTTGGACGTAATTATATGTTTGATTCTAAAAGTCATAACTTCAGGTATGTAACATGACTGTGGAAATAAAAAATGGATTGGTCTAAGGATACAATTTGTCTGCGTATAAGGCACTCCGCTTTGCCGATGCATAATGTGCTATCTTTTTATGAAGGAAAATTTTTATTGTATTTGACTCGAAACGCATTTTGACTATGGCAATTGTAAGAATGAGTGAACCTACTACCCTATTTGCTAAAATGGACTGATTTAAGTGGTCCTAGTTTTTCGAACAAGGTGCCCATATCCAGCAAACGGCTTCTCAGCGTCGAAACGTCAGGCATCTATCCTTCTCCACGTGGGGTCCGTGGCAAAAGGAGCCCCAGCAAACGTTTCGTGTTGGCCACGCCGAGGACACAGAAGCCATGGTGCAAGCACTTGCGCTATGTGATAGGTGAGATAGATTCTTTGTTTATACTAGTGTTCTTGACTTCATAAAATATTAGTAACAGAAGAAGTATATCTTTAAATCGATTCCCGCGTCTCTAGTTAAAACACGCTCGTTTGCTTTCAGACTCGATGGAAATGCGGGCATTGATGATTTTGAGAAAAAGCTTTATGCTCACTTTTGCCCAGAAGACGTGTTTTCTTCATGGAAGGGAAAAATGCTACGAAACGTTAACGACGAAAAAGGCTACGGGATGGTGAGTGAACAAAAACACAAAGGGTCAGGTGCCTTACAATACTATCTCGTATGTTAGCTTCCGTAACGAGTCAAAATACTCCTTTTTTTTGGAGGTTCATCTAGCATTTTCGGAAATCAGAAACACTCAGACTAAAGTTGTTGTCAATATACATTTATAAGGTTGCACTGTCTCTGTGTTTGACCTATCTGATTTCTCGAGTTAGAGCCGTAACACTAGAAAATTTGTCGCATAAGGGTTTTCATTTTCTTCTATCTACCGATGCATTATTATATTGGGTGATATATCAGTGAAAAAAAACATCAATAAGCCGTGTGCTTATTGATGTATTTATGGCTGGAGGTATGCGAATGAATCTACATTATGTAATAGATCGTATATGATCTTACCTTTATTCTTGCGGGGGTAAAAGATGTGAGCGTCACACAATCACGGATGAGTTTTGGATGTTGGATATAGAAAATAAGGTCTAGAATGCATCATAGCTTTCGACTCTGGATTTCCATCTCTCGGTCGCAAAAGGAGCCGTAAACTGCACGCGCTCAACCTCGTAACAATGCAACTTCCACATGTGCCCCTTGGCCCTATTAGCCATAGCATGTTTTCTATGAAATAAATAGTAGCTAAAGAAGACAGCAAAATCTAATTAAGTTTGGGTTTTGAATACTAGTAGTTCAAGAGCCACGAAGTTGCTTTGTATAGAACAACGATGCTATCGTTAAAACGGCTGCTTAATAGCGGTTTTCCAAGTTTACAATCGGCATCCAGAACCTAGAGAATGCCCCGTTCTGGTTTATTCTTGTTGACAACCATGTCAAGGCTCCTTTGAAGGAGATAGTCGACAAACAACTCGGGGATTCACCGAAAGGTAGGCTGTAGCCGCGACCTCAGATCTTTTGGTTTTGAGGCACTTGAAGCTTGGGTGCTTCTTAAAAGTTCTTTACGTCAACAGGGAATTACGGCTTAACGCTGCATCTCAACATCTTGTCTGGTATCAGGCGTCATGGGCCCCTTATGACTGATTTTTGCACAGACTCGTCACCGGCATTAAGAAGTGCTGTTTATGTAACAACATAATCAGAGATCGTAATGGGTAGCTTCAGAAAAGAAGCCAAAGACCAGATCTTCATACAAGAAAGCTTATTCTTTGAATCTGGTAGGATTGCGAGGTCTAGATTTACTAGGAATTGTTTCCTACAAATCAGATAGTTAACAGAGACGTTCATTTGGCCCAGTTGCATGAAGTCAACCAGGTTATTCAACACAAAGGATCCAATAAACGAAATCAGGTCGTTTTGCTCCATGACAACGCCAGGTCACACGCGGCAGGCATCCTCAAATCTTTCATTTTGAAATCATAATGAAACACATTGCACTTATAATCAAGATCATAAAGGTTCCTATAGATGTTAAAGCCAAATTTGAAGCAAAATTTGAAAATAAAGTAAAGTTCAACAAGATTTGCGTATTGCCCAAGACAGTGTTGGGTGGTCTTGTATTATTTGTAGCCTGTCTTAAAGCATATCTTTGTGTATTTCCTGACACTATCACAAACACATACAGTTTTAGCAAAAAAAATGGGACTGCAGTACGGAAATTATGTAAATATATTTATTTTTTATTATTGTGTCTTGATCATTTTGCAAACCTGGTTTTGTTTATTCTTCAGACTTCATTTATAGTAATCAATACAGCTGTTAATAAATTGTATCAATTTTTTTCAGGATACGGCTGGCGAAGAGCTCGACTATAGTGGGCATGAATTTCTTGCCATTACAAACGAGATGAGCCCATATGTTCTCGATTCTGTAGAGAAAATAAAGAATTATCTTAGCGACATCGGAATCACTACATCTGCCCCGCAATGTGAAGTTTACGTCAGTGTCGCAGAGACTCAAATCATTGCAGCGGCAACCTCAACATACACTATCTCTTTAACTGGCACTGATGGACGGCCGCAAAGTCCAGAGAATCCTTTAATCTCTCTACGTAAACTAAGTAGTTGCAGAGCTGCTAGTCAAAAGATGTCACCGGAACATATAGGTAACGATGTACCATTATTGCGTATAAGTCAGAAGACTTCAGATTCCGAGGATGAAGATCTGTTTAACGATATAACGACACCAGCAGCCTCGAAAGTCTTTCCTTCCACATCTACGCCGTTTCTGGCAAAAGCAACCACTCAAGGGTTAACTGACAATCTGACACCATTCCATCCAAATGAACGAATAACACCAATAAAACCACTTCAGCGATCACAGGCAGCAAATATCGAATCAACTAGCAGTCAATCCCGTCTTGGAGTAACCGCTTTAGTGAACCTGGTACAAAAACGCAAAAAACAGAAGAATTTGCAATACTTTTTCAAAACGCAAACGCAAGATAAACACCAGCAAGAGAATGACCCTAAAACAATTGTAATTTTATCTGATGACGACAGCAATCATTCTAACGGTGCTTACGTGGGTGCTCTTTATAGAGGCAACAGAACTGAACCCAATGATGCCACACTTGTGCCACAAAATGATACTTCCAGAGAACAAACTAGCGCTACCAACAGAGTGAATGCCCAGTATTCTCAGGATGGCTATAAGGACAGCCACGATGGGTCTCTGTTCGCTTTCGATGGGGAAACCCTCCGGGGAAAAACAAAACACTTATCAAAAACTATTTCTGGCACATTTCCTGAAAGAGAAAATGCCTCAAACAGGATTGTACAACTGTCCTCCTCCCGCGATAATATTCCGGAGGATATAGCTACTTGTGTATATAATTCTGATAACCAAGTACATTCGCATGTAAGAATACAGGAAGTAGAGCAGATAGAACGACCTATAATAGACGACCACGAGGAAAAAAATGCTTGCACTTTTTATGAGATTAACGAATCGGAGCTAATAAAAAATGCGAAAACTGAAACTGAACAACCTATCAGTTGTACTCCTGCAATAGAAACAACTACGATGAGAATTATCCACGAAATTTCTAGCTGTAAAGACGGTAGGGGAAGAATGGCTTTATATAAAGCTGCAAATCATGCTCTACAATATGCCCAAAACTGCACTACATCTGATCCACCTATAGCAGGAATGAGTTCGGCTTCAATTAGCGGAGCTGTTCAGAATTCTTCAGTTTTAACCCTTGAGGACGACGATGATTTATTTCAGCAGATTGATGAGGAAGAAATTTTCCAAGCGAGGCAGAAAATGAACACACAAGCATCAGTGTCAAAAGATGATGGAAGTACAAAGATTGGGGGAAATGGTTCCTGGAACTCCAGTGCACAAAAGGCAATTCCAACAAAAAAAATTCGCTCAGTCTTTGATGCTCTAAAGGAGCACGAACAAACGGTCAAGCCACGCGAAACAACGAAATCTCTCTATGACATTTTGAACAAATTTGCCGCAAAGGACAAGCATCCAGAACTGAAAGTTAAGCGTGAGGTAACTCATTTTGAGAATATATTTACGGATGAATTCGAAAAGGAACTACGAACTATTGATGAACACGAAAAGCAGCGTACGCCGAATTCAAAATCAGATGAAGGTGCCGAAAACGACTCAGATGAAAGACGCAACGACGTAATCGAGTCCTCTTCAGCCGAAAAGGAGATAGGGAAAGATGATGTTCTACGAAAGCTTTTGAAAAAGATTAATGAACGACGCAAAAATAAAGACAAGTTGGCTTCTCCACGTCCAAGAGCTACTCGGGACTATTTAGAGGTTGTTGCTGAACCATCGATAAAAAAAGGATTTAAGAAACAGAAAATAGCCGCTGTAAAAGATGCGAATGATGAAACTTCGCCTGTCAAATGCCTGCCGATGGCTGTAACAGCGCAGAAAGAGGTTATTCCGTTTAAAAAAGAGGTGATTGACGCGTTATCGGATGGGGAGCCAAGCAAACTGGTCGAAGAAAAACTGAAATTCAAACTAGATTTGAATTCCAAAGGCCCGGTTGCATCAGAAACTCAAGTCAAGCTTAAAAACACGGCTACTGCAACGTGGTCAAACGTAGCCAAATCTCAGAAAATCCAAAAGGTTGCCTATGAAGACGATGACGATAAGGCATTGTCAAGCTTTTCAGAGGATGCCGTACCTCTTACAAGCCGAAGATATTTCCGAAAACAAAAAGCCTGTAAGCAAAATTGGTCTAGCACGTCAAGCAGTGCTGATGAAGAAGTTGGTAACCTCCTCGAGGGACTAGGAGACGATGGACAGAATTCTGATAAAGTCGCCTTAGTTCAACCGACCACAGCCAGGGTAACTGAAGGCTTGTTAAAGATTCCTGAGTATTTAATTTTATACGTTGCTTACTCGTGCTGCACACCCGAATAACTAAGGTACAATAAAACATATGTATTTCCATATAATATTGGGAACCTTCTTTCCACAGATAAAATATTGCGCACAGGTGCTAATAAGACAGTTTTTATTCGCACTCAGTGTCACTGTTAGTATTAAAAACATTTGCTAATCATTTGTCTACATATAATATTCAAGGCTTGGCTGGAGGATCGAACTATGGGCAATCTGTTTGAAGATTTGGAGGAACGAAAACCTAAAAAGAGGCCTCGCCATGAGTTCCTGGAAGAGGAAGCCGAGCTGGATTCCGTGGACGAGGATTTTGTTAGCACAGATGAAGATGAAACCAACCATGACGCTTACGAAATAAATTCCTTCGTAGATGATACCTCGCCGATCGCACAAACACAAGGTATGTCATAAAATTAAAGGCTTCTTCTATTCTTTAACAAGATACTTACTATATTTATAGATTATATAGAAGATTATATGAGTAATGTGCCTTCCTACTGTAGTAAAAAAAAGCAAACCATCGAAATGTGATTGAGTATTTGCTGATGGTTGAAATTTCCGCAGTTATTTTGAACGGTAAACCATTAGCTTTCAAAAACAAACTGGTTTCATTGAGTGCAACTCCAGAGTTAATATTTATTAACAACTTTAGGACAATTCAGACATGTTTACCAAAATTTTACATTCCGCTATGTTTTCAGGTATGTACCTTCAAGTAAACGTTCAATTATCGCCACATGGAAAGCATCCTCTTATTCGCAGCGGTCGTAATCTGGTCCCGATAGAGGAGTGTTATTCGCAGCCGTCCTCAGTTGATGACACAAGCTACGATTCTCAGGACTCATTCGTCGTCAAAGGAGATGTAGAAGAGTAAGTTACTCTAAAATTCATTATATTTATCGGTTATGTTCAAAGTTTGTTTAATAATGTTAACTACCTGTGCAGATTTTAACGCGTCTCCAGTAAGAAGAGCATCCGCGATACGCTTTAAACATGTTTTACTAGTATCGTTTCACATTTCCCACTAGATTTTAAAAGCCATCAATGAGTATTAAATACTAGCAGACCATTACTTAAATATTGCAACGAAGTCATTATACACACAATTAGTATATTCTTACTTTGTGCTACCAACCGATGTACAACTGATGACTTACCAATAGATAAACTGGTTTATATAGCTGCTTCGGTAGGCCTAATGCGGTGGTCGCCGTACTGATCCTGTGTCCAAAAGTCAATTCGTTTACCGAAGAAGCATTTCATCCATAGACACAACTTACTACTGTTGATGACAAACTACATAGTCCGTGAAGAGCTGCAAATGTCGGGCAGAGAAAGCAACATTGGGCACGTAGCTACGATGCCGAGTGGATCTAATTATAAACTTCCCACTAGAATAATTTGAATTGTAGTACCTATAAGGTGTTTGTGTACAGCGTTAGTGAGCCCGAGATCCTAATATCTACATTTGTAGTTTGAGGTACTGGTAAGAGCACTAATAGAGGAATATGCCGCGCCATTGTTGGTCTGTGCGATTTGCTAGTTATCAATGGCTGATGGTGTCAATTAAGGAGAATGCATATTTTGTCAAAGCTATGTTGGAGAAATTGCACTGCCGGAGTGGTCTTGGTTGGGCCGCAATCAAAAGATAATTGACTCCAACATAAAATATAATGGCCATTTAAAACTCTGCGGATGACCAGCTAATAATATAAGCACTAAATGTCGGCCTAGTTCTTTACAAGTTAGACCCCTATACAACCTAGTTAATTACAATATCGTGAAACGGATAAAAACATTCTTCGATTTCAGGCCGACGCTTCCACTCGAAATCACAGTCATGGAGCAGACATCCATACTATCGTCAGTCAGAGCTAATTCAAGCATTACACAGAAAATATCTAGAGATAAAAAAGTGTCAAACAAGAAGCGTCGGAGAGTATTTATACAGTCAAGCAGTGATGAAAGCGATATAACAAAGTCTGTTCGATCTGAACATTCTTTCGTTAAAAACGCCTTGACTACGGTGAGTAAATAATGGTGTAGTCAAAACATAGTGTAGACAAGATCTTCGGAATAACTATTTAATTGCTAAATTTATTGTTATAAATAACTAAAAAAACTGTTTTTTGAATTCTCTTCATCCGACTGATGTTACTATTAATACTTAGTAGATAGCAATGGACGTTACAGCGTTAGTGCTTGCTAACATTTCACTGACATGTATCATCCTTTGAAGAACACTAAGCATCAACACTCTGACGGTGATTATGTGAAAGACTTAAACGAAGCAAGTTACAATAAAGACAAAGCCGCGCTATCTGATCCTGTTGTTCCTACCGGTTTACCCAACCTGATGCAATCTGCCATTACTTCGGATGCTCTGCCTACAAGAGTCGTGCTCGCTAACATGGAACTCATGGAAACCTTTCCCGTGAGTTTAATAAGACTGTTTTTTTACCACTATACCAAATTGGTGATATTCATTGATGGGTTTGTTTACTTTCATCTGCGTGCGTGGAACAATGAAGGGAACAATATCAGCAGACATTTCCATACGTTAATTGTCACGAGTAAATTTTTTAAATGAAAACTCGACATCTGCAAGCAATACTTCTAAGGCTGTTATAATGTTTTTTTTCTATAAGCAACACGAACAAACTTAACAGAGGGTCAAAAGAAATATTAACAGCGTTATGACATTTTTAAAAGCTGCCAATCGCTGGTTTGGTTGAGCCCGTCATATATATATGTCTTACTTACTTTATTTCTATAGCGCAACATTTGTAAACTCGTAATCAAACGGTTGTATTGAGTGGTTACCTCCTTCAAGTCCCAACAGTCTATAACAATCCTTTATGTTAATTGTATGTTATTTTCTCACTATCCGTGTACTTGTAAGGTGAACCTTAAAATCAGAGAAAAAGTTACTTATTACACTTGTTGCATTTATACGATCTTTTTGTTGTTGTTCTATAGGTTCCGTAAGCCTTTTGCCATTACAAAAACTAGTATTTGTTTTTGTCGCAGGATATTCTTGTGGGTTTAAATCGCACTTTTAAAGGATACCATATAGAACCTGTTGACATGAAAAATTTGGAAGATCACCAAGCTGACATCTACGTTGAGGACCTTTGCGTAAAAATTTTGCCATTTAATACGCTCGCGTCCGACTACCTACAACAAAAGGTATAACTTCGTTTGTTCACTGGATGAGCTTCTCTCGGGATTACTTTTCCAGCAGTCAGTGCACAATCGACAACAAATATATACACTAGTCAAAGAAACATAATTTTAAGCTTTGTTGAAATATCAGGGTTCTTATTACCTTTCCTTGTAATCAAGGAGAATATAACTAAACAGGTAGAAAATCTGTGATACAGTTTATTTGTACAAGTAGCCTTAATTTACTCCATCCGACAAACGTTGCTTTAAAATATAAAATATTTAGTGGTTATCCTTGCGTCAAGACACTTCTTCCTAACAAGAGGCGTACATAGCTGTCGCCTTTGGGTAGATCCCGCTAAAAACCAATGAAGATCGAAAAGCATGTGATGATGTAGTAAATAAGTACACCTCAGAAGAACTGTTAAATAGCATCACTAAAATCCAGAATAGCCTTTTCCATTGATCTTATTACAATCAAGAAGTTATCGTTTTCACCCGAAAACTTATGCGCGTTCGACATGACATTGAAAAATTAAAGATGTCTACAATCGATTTTCAGGTAAAGCATCAACTTTCCAGGTTCAAACAAATGGCAACCTATCCTGTTTTGATCATCTACACTGGACCTGCGTCTCCGGAGACTTCCGCTTTGGCGTTACCTATACTCGTTCATCTGCTCAGAACAAATATACAAAGCTTCTACGCTAATAACCAAGGTAAGACAAGCTTTCCGCCATCAGCAGCTAGGAAAAAAGTTATGAAAATGCATCCCTTCAGATGTTCGTTGTACCTACGAAGAATAATTCATATTCTAATACATGTTACAAACTGTAGCAGTGACGAGGTTTACCAGCTGAAGATGGGAGATTTCCAGGCTGGAGAGAGAGGATTAGATACTCATAGCGGGCCGGAACCGGAAATACATTTCTCGCAATTTAATACCTTATACCCTGTCTTAATATACAAATCCCTACTCGTCGATTCGGAAAATTAAGAATATGTAGTGGTTTATTAAAAAAGCGCTGGGTAATCGTAGTCATCAAATGAAAACTAAAAGTAGTCGTCGATAAAAAAATATTATACTACCATTTACTCGTAACTCATGATTCCGACTCGTAAAGGTTAAAAAATGATTCTTTCTTTTTTAGTAAATAAAAATCGTCTTCACTATATTTAGCAATCTAATAAATCGTTAAAAATAAATCGTTAAAGTAAATCTATAAAAATGCATTCTAAGGGAATCAATGGTTAACTTAACGTAGTAGGCATAAAAATTGACGAACTTATTTAATCTGTGTGTGTTATTAAGAGAAGTAAGTTCATCAATTAGATCTGCTAGTTTACTCGAGACGTCGTAAGTTTTGTATAATGAGAAATGAGTGTCTGTTCTTCTTGTGGGAGCAAAAAGCAACTACGAGCTGCGTTAAAGTTGCCCGGATAAAATGCGCCCCATGAAATTTAACCGATTGCAAAAAGCGGTACAGATCGTCCAATGTAGGATCAGGGTTATCATGATGTCATCTTTGTTCAACAAGAAATTTGCTCTATTCTCTGTGGATCATACAACCGTAAGCTGTGATGCAAGGATGGGAAATCCACTAGTTACTACAAGGTATTACATACACTTCAAAGTGAAATTTCTATTTACGCGCTTACGTATCGCACTGTTTTGAGAAATTGTCGAAGATGCGATGGTCATGGCCTACTCGCGAGCATGCGAAAAGGTCCACTGTTCCCTTACCGCTGTCCAAAGCCCAAATTCACCAGCCTGAGCCGTTCGATTTATTCCTGATGCTGCCGCCAATATCTCCTATCAAATTGGGAAACTTACCACAGAGCCTCAGATTCTTCGAAGCCCATACGTCCTCCTAAATACAGCACATCTTATATTTTTGATCAAGACATTGCACTGCAAAAACAACATACTCGAATCACCAGTCCGCAGAACCTGCGGTGCATAGCGTGCTTCAAAGTAGAACATCCTTTTTTGAGCCTGATTTTCACATAAATCATGCGAAATGCGGACCTATGCCTCTTAATCATCTAGGAAAGGTTAGAGAACTTTTGGCAGATTTTGAAGAAAACCTATTAGATTTGTCGACTTAATCTTCCTGGACCAGGATTAGGCTGCCGTCACTGAACAAAAACTCAAATTAATTTTTTTCTTCCGAGCATACCCTCAGATTGTCTCGTAACGCATTGATCTGTTGAGATGAATGTGCAGCTCAACTTTGCAAAAGCCATTTCAAATAGTTGGTCTTTTAAACAGTTGACTCATCAACACGATACAGTAAGCTCTGGAAGAAGGTAGAGGTCCCTAAGCATAATAGCCGTGCACCAGTGAATCTTACCTAAATGAATCCGTCTCATGCCCAAAGCAAATGATACGGCATACATACACACACACAAGAATGCGCGAAAAACAGAAGTGCTTTAGAACTGTATTTATGAGTCGAGCAAAATATTTGTACGAACTCGAGTGGATCATCACTCGCAGATCTTGAATTTAATCAACTATCATAGATGTGATAATAAGAAATACCATATGATAGACTTTACGATGATCAAGCAATCGATTTAAATTGCGAATATAGTAAAAAGCATCTTGTTTTTGTGTCCCCGTAAAAGTACAATAAAAATGTGTTTGCCTGCTAAACTTGTGGACATGTGATTTGAAACCGGATGTAGGCACACTTCGTTCTGTGGTAGGTGCTAACCACCTAAAGTTCTACTAGTGACTGTACCAGGCACGAACTCTTTCAAGATATGTTCATTGTGGTATAACATTTGCTGCTGCTAAAAAGTAATAATTACTACTTTAGACTGTGACAAAAATTACCGCTTAATCTCTTTTAACGCTAACTAATCCTAATTGAGTGTAAATTTCGCAAGGGTGGGTGTATAATGAAGCTTTTAATTTTTTAAAACTATATGGGGTTGTCAATATGTCGATATTCGAACACCTGCCTGATGGTATATACGTGCGTTCGCTTAGCCAAAGATTTCTTGCGCACAAAATAATTGTCTGTCGCTTTATATTTGATAACAAACGTCCATTAATAACAGCAGCTTAATCCCGAATTACTAACGAAATATCGTCTCCAAAGGAGAACCCCTCTCAATGACAAGCTATACTGCCAACTTTATAGTGGCCGAGTGCAAAAAGAGTTTGCGAAGGACGGAATCAGTGAATATAAGCGACTAAATGGTTGCAATATGCTCGTATTTTTTCAGTCGACATTCTTATGTTACTGAAATGTCTAGTCGGCCCTTCTCCAGTGGATAACTCTAACCTTTTGCGGTTTCTCGAGTCTGCAGAACTTTGTCGACTATTAAAAGTACCGGATCTGAACATCTCTACAGCCACCAAACTTTTAGCAAATAAAAAAAGTGCACAAAATGTGCTTCAGTGGTAAGTTTGCGTATGTTCATTTTCTTCATCATTTTCTTATAGCTGATTTCAGTCAGATATTCTTATTATAAACCAGCATTTGTATAGCTCGGAAGAGCAAGTGGTATTATTACACGAACTTTCTTAAAATGGATATCTTTGAGTATTGTGCATTCTGCGCTAGTACTTAGTGAGAGATGCGCTAATGTTTTACACTTTTCATTACAATTATGCAGTTCAGTCTGCGACACTAAAATTATATGAATGTCGAGTCCTCAAAAAATTGTTAAATCAACAACTCAGCCCTATGTGACTTATTGATTCAGTGAAAAGCTAAAATTTCGACAATCACGTAAGGAAAATATGGCCTGCAGCCACTTGGCGAGTCGAGTTTTAATCTGCAAGTTGCTAAGAAGCAGTTAAATCCATGGGATTGGGCTGCCAAATCATAATACCTAAAAGAAGCAGAGTTGGCCTCTGAAACTATTTCCTTTTTTGACATTCATTAAAGTGAGTATGCAAAAAAAAAGCTAAGTCTGAGAAATCCCTGCGTTTAGTTCAGTCATTTAGTAAAAATGTTTATATTTAATAAATAAAATTCATTAGTGAAGTAACTTCTAAGCGAATGGGAATGAATATGTGATTAGTTCCACAAACTTCGATAAAATAAGCCTGGATGATAAGCACATGCTCTTAATTGTTTCGTTCAAGCTATATTATATCAATCAGTCCTTACACACTAAACATTATTTTGCATTAACTAACTAAAATCAATCTAAGTGTTTACTAAATTGAATTTCAGTTCTGCTGGGGATATTACACGAATATGCGGGGTATCCGACCAATCCGCTGAACAGATTTATACGGCATTTCAAACACTTAGAAGGTAAATGTCGCAGACATAAAATGTTACAATAATGTAACTAAAGAAATCTTACGATTTCATATACATGTATACATGCATGTATGCACATATGAGTAATGCATATAGCCAAATATCATTTGAAAGCGAGGAGTAAAGTGAATCTTCGCTTGTTTTTTTTTAATTGGGTCGAAAAAATAAATAATAATAACTGGATTTATTAGTTCAGGACTTAGAAAAAATAAAATGGGTGGCAGTCTAGAGTGTAAGCAAGACGACATATATTCAGCGTATTCTTTTGCAACACAAAATGTCTCTCTCATTACATGACTTACTGTTACATATATTGCGATACCAGAGTAGCTAGCCACTTGAGATTAGTTCCAGCAAGTAGATTCCTGCTCGCTTTTCTAAAAATTTGCTGTAATATAAAAATAGAAATAGACAATAATTGGTTAACACTGAATTTATTTCTATGCTCATAAAAAACAAGTGAACGTATTACAAATTTTTAAAGATAGACTGACCCCTATCCTAACACTAAATATTGTTAATACTTTGATTCTATATTTTAGTTTTATTATTAGCATTTTGAAATAATTTTTAAGTTATAACTCAAGTATAACTATGAATCAATTTCATCAACTATCAGACGACCTACTACGAATTTCAAATTTTTCAATTCAAATCAAGCTGACGTTTTTAGGAAACACGTCAACCGCACCATCGAATAGGAAATTGTAGCACCTGTACCATAGTGACCTCATTTCGCGTAGTGAGCATCTGACTTTTCCATCAAAAGGACTCAAACAATGAATAAATGCTCGTTAAATATTCAGTTTTTACTATATGTTATACATCCTATTTACAAATTAATATATGTAATTTTTAAGCCGTTTTTTCTATGCTGAAAATTTCCGTTAAGGTTAACGCTGCATTTGTAGTTCAAGCAGGTATGCAGGCGATGCTTCGTGCCCCTCATACTATTGAATACCCTCCCGTGCTATTTATCGCGCCTGTTTATGTCTTAACTATGTTTCGGTTTTTAGCATATTCACAACATCTGCTTTGATTCCCCCACTTGGTCCGGTTTGATCTTGCATAACAGGCAAGCAATTTTTCTTCGCTTCTCGTTTAGCCGTAGCTCGGACAGTATCTGGAATAAAGCGATGTGAAGAAGGTTTGTCAAAAGTCTCAATTAGAACAGCTGCTTTTGATAGCATAAATAACTATAATCGTCATTATTCAGTTTAACTGCAAAGGGGACCAACTTTTACGGCTTGCGGAAGTCCTTTGCGCTGTTTTGTCATTCGAACTTGGCTTAGCGAATCCAAAAATTTCGCTACGTCATGTACAACATCATCATTGTGCCACTGGCGTGTCGAAGGCCACTGTTGAGCATGAATTGACGTACACTCCTCTCTAGATAGACCGGCCTGTTTCGAAACAACAAGGATCATAAAAGCACACAATGATATTCTGGATTCCATTATATCTATATCAATAGTAGGAATAATTGTTGTTGTGCAATTACGTAAATACTGCACATATGCGTATATAATACAAACGTTGGTCATAAAAAATTAACCGCGTAGATAAGTCATAATATATAATCAGAACATGCGTCAAGTTAAAAATGAATAAGTGAAAATGGAATTTTCGCCGTTTCAGTAAATCTCTTACCGATTCAGCAGAACCGACAATAAAATAAGTTTTGTTCTTTTATAACTTTTAGTCATGACATTCGTCATGAATAATTACCATAAGCTGCAATTTGTGATGAAGCTCTTCTGTAAGATGCGGTAGAAACGGCGACGCTATGATGAGAAATGTTCGAATAACTTCACGAAGTACAGAAATGCGTCTGGGAAAGCAGGAAGTGGAATTCCAGACGTCCGGTTTAATAACCTCCTAATGAATCAACAGTGAAATAGGATAATGCTCCATTTGCCTCCTATTTAGACAACATCAACTTCAAATGTAAGTACTCATTGTGAAGTTTACCTATACGCAAGTAGCGCCTGAAAATGGTTTTTTTCTATGAAGTAAATTTAAAACAGATGACGGAGATGATCAGCTAACTTGAGAAGATGAAAAACTTTGCCGCAGTTTCCATAATCGACAATGACCTTGTTGGTACAGCGCGTTGTTGACAATTAGATATAAGCTTATTCAGCTTTCATATAAAATCTAGCCCAGTGTGTGATTTCAAACAGATTCCTTAACGCTTATTAGACTATTCGAATTCATATAAGACGATTTTTGTGTGAGTTATTTGTGTGAAAGTAACAAATCCATCGTTTACGTGCAACGCAAAGTCTGAAATAGGTGCGAGGGAGAAAGACTAAGCCCACTCAGGGTGCCACAGATGCCAATGATACAGGGGTATGAAAACATGTGAACCTGTACGCAAAGGTAAAGGGAGTAAATACTACTTAAAATAAGCTTCCTGTGGCTGCCGTTGCTGTCTCACTATGACCATTTAGAGATACGAGCCGCATAGTTCGACGCATCGCTGATAATGGTTCCCGCGATGGTGAACTGCAGTGGCAATGTGGCTGTTTATTGCATTTATTTGGTGACGGCCTAATCTTGAGATAAGCACGGTAGTTTCGTACTGAAGATGAGCTGTCAGATGCAATGCTAGTGCTGCTTCAAACATGAAATTTGAAATGTAAATTTAGTCTATTTTGATCTGTGTGCTATACTTTTATGGCCATTCATAGTTGCTATTGATAAACAAAATCGGTACTAACCGGCTAATCGGCTAACTTCGACCCACTGTGATGCTTCCCATCATCAAAAACGTTAAATTTCCGGGCACGACCTAATTTTATAAAATCTATACTTTCTTGGTACAATCAATACTTACGAGGTAAACATCGCAAAGTCCAGTTATCCAGAACTTCTCAAGCTCGTTTACTGCGATTTGAGAAGTAAAGGTTTCAAATGATTTCTTTACTGTGTCCTGGGTACTGTGAAGGCGCGCCAAAATCCATTTATCAAACTCGTCTAGTGTCGCAGATGCCGACACATCAAAAGGTTCAAGATGCTTTTTAGATTCCGAAACGTTAGTCATTATAGCCTGTGTATAAAATCTAACCCCTGAAATACCGCACATACGTATAATAATATTGTGTTTCAGCACAATAAGCAAGTAGTTCGAAAATTAATTTGCGAAATCGCAATTTCAAGTGTTTCTTACAAACCACAAACGTATTTTTTTTTATATGTGGCGTTAGCCATATATATGATTATCACACCCACTGAAACCGAACACCGACTTCTCCTGCTACACTAACTGCCCGATAGCTATTTTACCATCCCGACTGTATTCGGGATGGTAAATCTTACATGCAACATTATAAGAATTCGGCAACAGTAATACATCTGAGATGACAGATAATGTGGATTAGTTAACCTGTATGATCGTACATTCAGAAAAGTGCTGCCTTACCTTGCCATATTTTATTGCAGAAATTCCTTGCAGTAATGACCCTTTGTACATCAAATGACACATTTTCCATATAGACATCGCAACTCAGGAGGGCTAATCGCAAAGCGTCAGCTCCATGTGGAAGCACACCCTTGGGGAAAAGTCGACTTGTTTGTTGGTGGGCGCGGTTCTTTTCTTTCTCGTTAAGGTAACCTTTTGCAAATAACTTTTCTGTCTGGAAAAAGATTATCAATCCAATATATGTTTTATTTAATAAATCTAATTTAATAATATGTTCCGTTCTTGCGACGCAACTAAATAAAGCAGCAAAGCGTTTCATGTAAACGAATCTGCGCTTAACTACAATATGTTCAAATTGCTCCCATACAAAGTTTGATTATTAAAACTTGAAACATATACATTTGACTGTGTGTATGAGCTACCTCTTTATAAAGTTGTTCCGGAGATGCTCCTTCGACGATATGAAGAGGATCAATCACATTTCCAAGGCTTTTACTCATTTTCTGTCCTTTGCTATCACGCAACAACCCATGCAGGACTATCTAGAAAAGAACTGAATTTCTATAACAACTATCGTCTAATTTAAATAGACTCTCTGGCACTACAAGTGTAAGAATTCATTAAAAACCTTTAAATTTGTACTCGAACTATAGATATCTATTATCCTTTCTAAACTATATTTTCTTTTTCAACAAAATAAGACCGTATATGCGACTTATATGCGAATAGCCGTACATGCGGATAGATTGAAAGCCCGTTACCTTTTTAAACGGTGGCCGGTCTGTCAAAGCTAAGGAAACTATCATCATTCGTGCCACCCAGAACTTCAGGATATCATGGCCCGTTTCCATGAGGTTCAACGTTGGAGGGCGACTCACCTATAATGTTTTCATAAAAATATGAGAATGAAAATAGATTGTTACTGGATATTTAGGCGACTTCAAAAGGACCGCTATAGCAGCGCAATAGACTACTTATACTCATAAAGATGAAGATAAGCACCTTGGGCCAGCCAAACGCGACGAGGGGATATAACGCGGAAGAAAACCATGTATCTAAAACATCCGTATCCCTCTCAGCTCCAGGAGGCACTGATCGATCGTCTGTTGTCACAATCCATGAAGCCTTGGAATTGTCGGCCGATGAAGGCAACCTGACGGAAAAGGAAAATATTTCTAAGACTTGGGTGCACTGATAACCCGTTTGAACTTCGTACGGCATTCATTGAAGGTCAAGCTACCACATCCATATTTACGATATCTAATATTCAGTGGCTTTTAGTAACTAGTGAGGTTGCAGGGGTTTGACGAGGGAGTATATGAAAAATCAAAACAACAAAATGAGTAAAGGTAAACGAATAAAAGTACAATAATAATGAGAATAACGCCAATAAGGGTAGTCGGACGGTTTATCTAATTGATCTGTTTATTAAAGTGAAGGAACAGGTAAAAAGAGAGGATGCGAAATTATCAATGGGGTCCCTTGAAAGAAATAACTGTTACAAAGCTTTTGAGTAGAGTAACGAGATTCTTTCAAATAATTAGATGTACTGCATAAGGAGTTACCTGTTGTCACAGCCACAGTGGCCAGAGTGTTTTCTCATTTTAACGCGTGTTGTCGCCTCATCAGCAAAAGCTGTGATAATTTTGAATTCTCATGAATAAAGAAAGGGAGAGTAGAAATAAAACAGACCTTCGATCCACGCCCTGACGGATGCTTTTAAAAGTCGCACAGGAGCATATGGAATTTTTGAAACGCTGAATTAAATTGAATTAAATTAATCTGCCAGTTAGACACCTCGAAACCTAGACAGATATCGCCAGAGAATTCATGGTTGAATAACATTTAATTAAGAGTAGTATGATCCGATCACTTACTGTCGTCCACGACATACATTTTTACATCACTGAAGACCACCCAAAAAGCCCCCTTGCTGCACAAACCCTTTCGAAAGCCAAACTGATAGAGAGACAGGAGAAAATTGGATTTGAGATAGGGTCGAGGCTAGTAAATGTGCATCGTTCGAAAGTTTTAACTAAGAAATGGACTATGGTTATGAACCGGTAAGATCTGAGATGATCTCTTGCTCATTTGCTGTTGTGAACAGGAGTAACAATAGCTATTTTGGAGGCGGTCAGAAATGAACAATGGATAAGCACTGTTGCGTGTTAAAACTAAGGAAACTAGTAGAAGATTGACAATTTAATGCTTAGAGCTGGACCTATCGGTGAAAGGGATAAGCGCGGAAGGGGCGGCCACCGGAAGATGTACTACGTACAAGGATGAGAATCGAAATGTTTACTGGACTCAGATGAAAGGAAAAGGAAGAAAAAACTATTGCTCACATTGGTCGCGCCTGGGTGAATCGCCGAGTCATTGTTTAGAAGCGAGGAGCGAGGAAATTCTCAATGTCATTCACAAAGGGAACTGATATTTACCTAAGACCAAGCCCAACATAGCTTGCAAAAAAGCTACTCCATTTTTTACAGAAGCCTTAAGCAGGTAAACGGCTTTGAGTAAACGTTTTATGGATAAAGTCCTCGATGAAAAATTAGGGTTGGATAGCATAGTTTCCAGTTCAGGAAGAGGGATCCAACAGAGATTTTTTTTGTCTTGATGCTTTTTGTTTAATTTAAATGTTTGTGAAGACTTGCGCAAAAGGAGGCGGTGCAGTATAAGCAAGGGCAACTTGAAAGGCACCAATAGTACCGTCAGGGTTCGTAGCTGAATGTGGTCAGCAATTAGGTAACCCACATATGGTTCAGAGATATGCCAATAGAGCAAAATATGGGGTGGTTATAAACAGAGTCAAATAAATTCTTGGATAAGACTTACGAACACTTTAGCAAAAGGATTATGTTTAGTTAGTTACCTGTAAGCTGGAATACGATGCCCCCACCAAAGTTGACGTGAAATGCACCAGTCTTGCGGCTTAGACATCCAGTCCTTCCAGATCTTTGCATGGTAGGCTGGTACCATACTTACTCTGCCACTTTCGACCTCAGTGTTGAAAAAGGATAGAACCAGAAAAAGCATACTTAATCAAAGCGGCACATGGTATACTGTCTGGCCAGTACAATACAACTTTGGACTAAAGTCATACAGGACGCATGGTCATCAAAAGAAAAATAGCAGACTTTGAAATAATTATCCTAAAACCCGCTACTTCTTAAAAAATATACACACATTTAAATATGTACACAAATTACGCACAGAAATTCCACTAAGACTAGCAGTTTCAATACGAGATATATAAATAATGCGTAGTATCATTTAAGTAATCTATACGCAACAATTAGTACTTATTTTATGCACACCTTTGCACAGTACGCCATATTGACACGATTATGAAATCAGTTAGATTAATTGTTAATATGAAATCCACGAGCTTAGAGTTCAACAGTAGGATATGTCCTATGAGGAACCATAAATGGAATATATTAATGTCATTTACCTCTTCAAGTGCTCTTTGAGCCAAATCATCACACTTAAGATACCACTGTGGTCTCAACCGTTGATCAACGAGGGTACCAGTACGACTGCATATCGGTATGGAGCGCGTAACTGCTTTCGAACCCCTAAATGAAACATTTACTGGATACGTGTTACTAAAATAAAAGCTGCCACTTAATTAAGAGGTAGTTACTAAATATGAACTTCGGGCGATCCTAATTTTAGCGTACATTTTATTTAGTAGTAATGTTCTATAATATTTAAAATATTTGGTTTAATCTTGGTTTAAAAAGCGTTAGAACTTTCCGACCACCTGATGATATATATATATATATAATTCGCCACGACTTCAAGATACAATTACATGTCTCAATATAAGTATTAGTTTAAATTTAGAGTAATGCAAACATAAAACCAGTTCGAACCCTGTGGATTCAACCTTTTGAATGAAAATATATATGTGCATTTTGTTGTATAGGCAAATTACTTTAGTTTCACACCTGTATAGTCCACGTTCTTCTAATTTGGCTTTAATCTTATCCGTTGCAGTAGCTCTATTATATCCTTGAAAACCTTCCAGAGTAAGTCTGCCGCGATCATCAAAACACTCAACAAAGTCTGATACGCCGTGTCGTTGACACATTTCATAGTCGATCTTTGAGTACGCAGGTGTGACTTTCATTGCCCCTGTGCCACTGTTAATATCCACCTACTCAGGCGTCAAGCTTAATAATTTGAGTTTAAGTTTAAACAAACACTTCAAAACTACTAATTATGTTGATGCCATCTTTAGGTTGTTTATAAGCCTTTCCGGGGTAATCTCAGCGCAAAAATAATGCTTAATAACGAAATTCAAAGGATCATCTTTTTACAATAAGCGAATGAGACTCTTGGCTTATATTTTCCTTTTCGTTATAGATAGCAATATTGTTTGACGATTCACTTAACAAATTGATGTTACATGTACCTCCGAATCCTTAATGAGAATAAGTTTTCTTCCTGTGAGGGGATGTTCCAGTAGTGTCTTCAGATGCTCTAAATGTGAATACCTGGCAATTGCACACATTGACGATTTTGAAATAACATTGAATGTACTGTGGGGGTTTAGGATTTATGACTGTCATATCTCTAGCTGTTAATCGCAAAGTTTTTTTTTCAGAAATGATTCAAATTCGCTACACTGTTTTTTTAACGAAAACCAAATCTTGACATCACTATGAACATCATTTAATATTTAGGACTATTCAGTTAGAAAGCGCTTTGAAATACTAGACACCCACTTCTAGCAATTCTAACATAGCCTAGATAGTTACCTCTTATCCTCTGGATGGACTGCAATAGCGACATCCGCTAGCATGGTTTCCAATCGACCAGTGCTCACAATAACCTCGCCGCGACCGTTGTCATCACCATTGCTTCCACCAGTATTACCGCCTCATTAATTAAGTCATATGGCACGAGTATATTGGTTAGCAAGCAGAATAGAAATCGTCGATAAAACACAAAGTTTTAATTTTATTCCATTATTTCAAAGGTTGTAGTGTTAGGTTAATAAGAAAAATGTGCTCGAGTAAAATCTGGATGCGTAGAGCAATTCCATCGATTATATATTCCAAGCTTGTGCATACTACGAATCGCCTAAGTGCTTTCAAAGACTATATGTGAAAATCCGCAAGAGCACGATAAATAATTAAACTACACATAATACTCACCTTGATAGATAGGATAGGCAAAGTTGTGCATGCAACCCATATTAACTCCATCAAGTTTTTGATTCGGCTGGACGTCAATATAGTCAACCTCGATATCCGATAACGTTGTCTGCAGTTTCGTACACCAATTCACCAAACGTTTATTTCTAAAACGAAAAATTTACATATGACACAAAATATCGTAGATGATCACATCAAAGAAACAGATACATAACGTTGAACAATATTAATAGTATTTGAGATAATTACAACTTTCCGACCTATAGATTGCGTTGGGAGCTCTCCGATCTAAGTCTACGCCGTTCTCGATGTACTATGTTGATCCTAAGAAAAACTGTTGTATATATATACCTATATATATACACCAGTTTTTTTATCAAGCGAAGAGCGGGACTGTATGAAACAGAGACTACATGAGCCACCTCATTTTTCTAGCAACTGAACGGTGCTCTCAAGTTAACACTTTTAGATGTACACGAATTAGAAAGCGTTTAACCCAATTTAGGTTACTGGTTTTTTAAGCTAAATTTGAAATGTTGGAGCTATATGGGAGGTATTTTTTACATTCTATCGAACCTTTACTGAACAATAGAGAACCAATATGATTACTTCATTTCTCTAGCATAGCTTTGCCTGTCGCAGAGATACATTTACAATGCCAAAATGAAAGCGTTACGTTTTGCCATTTGATTGAGTTCTATCGCCGATATAACTAAACGCTAAGCATAGAGTCTCAACCCACAGAAGTTGTACATATATTGCTCCTCATATCTCTACGGACGTGCTTATTATTTTGAATTCAGTCAACCAATCTGTTTCACAGCATAAGGAAATAATCATGTTATCATAGCGTATCATCGAGGTTGCCCAATGTTGCTGACAAATCTATCACATTCCCAAACGTGTCATATTTTCGAATGCATCATGTTCCTAAATAAGTCAAATGACGCTATATAGGTATTATCCGCGTAATATGCTATGTTTCAAGCGATTATTCTTCTTAGAACAATTAACCCTAGTACTCAGTACCGTTATTGCTCGAACACGACTGACCAAGGTCACATCCCTTGTCTCGTTCTGTAAAAGATAGTAAGCTCCTAATTAACTTAAAATTTCAAAACGACACGTCCATATAAAAAAGACAGAACGTACTCCGAGGCTGTGTAAAAAGTAGCTCTGCACGCACAGTGAGCTTTAATAAGAAAGCGCTTAAAGTTTTTTCGAGAATCTCAAGGCATGAATGATTGTATAATTTTACTCGTTTAGGTATTATTAATCTAGCGTATTAATAATCTAAGCGTCCCTCCTTACTGTAATGAACCCTCTAGAAGTGGCAGCCCATAATAAAAAGCAGTCTGTTGTTCGAAAGACATCACAACAACGCGAAACTTTCGCTACCATACTTACATTCATGTCCGCAAGTGCTAACAGAATTCCGCAGTGATTTCTAAGTAGCACCTACGTAACTAGGAATACATGCCCACGACTGCAAACGGTAAGGGTCCGGGCTTTGTAAATCTCCCTGACTGGATCGCAAAGGAAATACTGTAAGCGTTTCATTAAAACCATTGACTGTTCCCTAGAGGGGCCATGCTTGGTGAGCAAATAAATGATTAGGTGGCAAATATGAATCTAAATTTGATCAAGTGACTTTGGAGGACGGCGTCTATGTCGCTATATCTTCTCCACAACGCTCGAATAAATTCTTACCATTCCTGGATGTGGCAGTCTTTTGGTTTTTTAAAATTCGACTTTATACAGCTCGACAGAAATATGTTACTACTTACAGTTGAAAGATCATAATATACGGAATAACCGGATTGGCAAAAAGTGAATACGGGAGACAATTTATGATTGCCAATATCTTAAAAGAGTTTTAGAAGACAAAAATAGTTCCGCTGAACGCAAACGCATTGACAGAAAATGACTTTTTTTTTCCTTCAATAGGCTGATAATCAACCGGGGCCTACGAGATATCACAGAGCGTTATTTCAACTTTTCCTCAAAAGTGAAAATGCTTCTGCGGACAGCTCCGTCGCCGGTTGCTCTCAATCGTAAGAACCAAAAGACAGACTCCGTAAATTATCCATTATTCTAATAAAACAACATTAATAGCTCTGTGTTTGAAAATATGGGCTCGTTGGCTTTAGCCGTGCGACGAACTCAATCACGTTCAACTTTACTATTCAAATAAATAGAGTCCTTATTTGTATATTGATATTAGATATTTCTTTAGAGAAACAATTCAAAAAATTACATTATATTATATGGCTCACTTCTAACAAATATAATCCCACCAGATGGCCGAATGTAACATTTTTCATTTAAGGGTTCAGTACCAAATACAGATTCCAGGTAGCAGAGTACCAAAGACGTTGATTCCAACTTGACATAACACTATAGCTTTATCACTTCGCTGATGTAACTGTCACCTAATTTGAATTCACATGCATGATTACAACACAATCTAATCACGGAAGTAACATGTCATCTCTTTTACTAATTAGCTACGGCAGCGCTTCGGCGCTTTTTGTTTAATAAAATGATTAACAAACTACACAAAGTGAAGATAAAAAGCCTTAATGAGATGCTCAGAGCGCTGTAGTATACTGTCGGAAGGTCTTAAGTGTCAGCTTAGCGCTATCCGTTCCGGGGTCGTAACGGCGAATATACCAGATCAAGTTTAGTTTCTGAGAAAAGAATGGCTACAATTTGTGCTACCAAATGTTCAGTTCACTAATGTAGAGGGCTATTACATAAAATAATACGACTATGGTATTATAAAAACTAGAAGAATACACGGCTTGGCTGACATTGACTATAAATCCCTAAAGCACGATACATCGCCGGATGACAAGTAAATGACAATAACAAAAATATTTATGGCAAATTATGTAAAACACATTTGCCTTAGCTAACCGGCGATTTCAACTCGGCCTTGCATTGCAACATTAAAAGTTCCTGGAGAGCATGTTACAGTTTGCCGGCCGTTCAGCCGGTATCAGGTTTAAAAAAGATCATTTCAGTGCCTCAATATAAACCTGTCTTATTTCACCTTACATTTCCCTACACCAAAAAAAAGGAACCAAATAACTAGAAGTTAAAGTTTAAGAAGAGTCCTGCGTTTGGTTACAGGCGTAGCGTGCATTCTAGAAAAAGTTGTATTATAAAAAAAAAAGTATTTGTAGGCCTTGAAACTGAAAATATACGCACCAAGAAAATTGATCAAGTGGTGAGTCGAAATAATTTAGTCAGACTAGGTCCTACCTGTATATGAATCCGTGTTGGTACAATCGAACAAAGGCCTCGTTGACACATGCGCTCATCTTTTCATCCATGGTAAAGAGTTTTCTGCTCCAACTCAACGAGGCGCCCATTCGAGCCAGTTGCTCGAAGATTCTGTCCTCCTGAACAATAGATGTTGTTTTTCCAATTATATTTATGATTTCATGTAATAGTCGTGTTGTAGCTGATACATATTAGCAAGTTAAATGGATTTACTTGTTCGACAACTCTTTTAATCTATTCAACAGATTTTCACCTTTTGTAGTTTCCAGTTTTCAGCTACCTTGAGGCGATACTCCACATCCTTTGTACTCCAGTGACTATTTTGGTTAGCGGATGGTTGGCTGTTCAGCTCAGCCTCTCTAGCAATCTTACGGTCCAGTACTGCCTGTGTTGCGATACCAGCGTGATCCGTCCCTGATCAAAAATGAATACGTCAATTTTTTTTACATAATATGGTCGCGTAAATTTAGCTACTGGGAGCTGTCTAAGACTTTATATAGAATTACTAATAACTCTATTTATACCGCTTATATGCAACACTTTTTTTTAGTTCGATTTCAGTTGACTATTGAAATGGCCGATCAGGATGAAAATGTCGATGCTGACAACGTGGTTATGATCGATATATTGGTACCGGTTACGTACCAGGTATCCAAATGACCTGATCTCCATTGAGCCGCCGGTATCTACAGATCGCATCTTCAATGGCAACAGTTATTGCATGACCAAGGTGAAGATCTCCAGTGATATTCGGTGGCGGTAGAACCTATGATAGAAATTGTGGATTCCTTATTATAGACTTTTGTCCTGGATACAGATGCAGAGAGAACGTAAACTCGTGAAATGATCATCGCAAGTTCGCCCAGCTTCATTGTAAACATTGACACACGAATTCTTGAACCCTCCAAACCAATGCAACCGTTCTAGCAAATAAACACTCTGGTAGAATATAGTAGGGCGTCCATTGAACAACGGAAATGTGCTCATCGCGCTACAGTGGTTTTAGATATATAATTCATGCAAAACAACTCCTATTAAGGCTTACGAAATCCAAATATTTATTCGTAAATCTGGTCAACATTGGGAATGGCTCGTAAGGGCAGCACTAGATATCAGTGGGCCAGTCGTAAATTCCGCCTTAAAACAGATTTATAAGAAGTGGTGAAAAGTAAATATTGATACGTCGCATGGTCGCTTACCATTCTGAATAGGTTGTGCTTATTATTCCCGTAGTTATCGTTTTCAAATAAGCTCAGTTTGTCCGATTCTCTGCTCTCAGCTTCAGCCCACTCACGGGACCATCCTTGTTCCACCCTTGCACTGGCATATTTCTCCTCCAATTTTGGATCAACCGGCTTTAGATAACGCCTGTATTTTGGTAATGTCATTACACTATTTTTGATATTTGGTGGACTGTCGCTGACATAGTTCCTTTTGTATACTCCCTGAACGGCTAAGCGGACTCGAAACATAGCGCAGGACGTCCTCTGAAAATGCACAGGCTTAATGTAAGGTAGATTTTAACTTTTAGGTAGAGTCTGAACATTTAGAGAATTTTCAAATTTTGTTCTCATTTGCTGGTATCCCCTTGCTTCATTACGAATCTTGGTACCGTTCTTAAAAATACCGCTGCATAACAGTGCCCGATCTTATAAATTACGGGCTATATCGTTAGGGTGTCGTGATTTAAATAATACTTGCATAATTATTAGGCTATTTAATAGAAACTCGTAGATTACCACGAGCATATGCTTGATTATTTCAACAAACCACACAATTAATAAAAAGAAAACAATTTTTCAAAAAAAAAACATTTCCACTCGGGAGTTAGGTTTCATCATATTTAAACAAAAATGAGCTGTTTTGTAAATTACCCAACTGACGTACACAAAGTACAGTTCCAGACATTGTAAACAGTTCTACGTAAACAAGGTACTGACGTGCATTTTAGTTGTTTTTAGAACATTTTAATTGTAAACAATGTATCCACTCATTACCTCGGAAGTTAGGATGCAAGCTGTGGAAAATAGTTGGAAACCCCTATAGCTAATACCAGTCTTTACCAGGAATAGAAAATCCGATCAAAAGGCCACATTCATGTTAGCTTAGACCGATTAAATTCGATTCCATGACACTTTTGAATAAAGTTCACCGCAACATATCACTTATTTCCAGAAATTTAACCTCCCTCTATTTAATAGAACTCGTATAATGTTTCTAGTCCGACTGTGTTACATATAAACAGATAATTTATTTAACGACATTTATCATAGAAGTACAGCTGCTAAAAAACGCAACGCACATGTTCTACTTTACTAAACGTTCTTTCGCGCACCGTGTGCTTTTGCTAGTGTTGTTGTTATGGCGGGAGATATTGTCGTCTGGTGGCACTTTGACTTGATTATCGCATGGGGTGTCCTGGCTTAACAAAATCATATGTCTTTTTAGCGTTTTTCACTTTCATTCCATTAAGCTCTGTTTCTCATATGCTACTATGAACCGACATAAAAAACAAATTTAAAAAAAATGATTAGGAAGAACAAGTAATTTTAATTCTTCCGGGCTACATAAAAATCGCAGAGAGAGGGAGAGTCTTCAATCGTAGGGGCAGAGGGCACTCGGTGAGCTGGAGAATGTTGATACTGAAAGCACATATAAAGGTTGATCCTCTAATGTAGCTTGCGTCGCCGCGAAGTGAGTCGTGACTGGCAAAGTAACTCGCGGAAACCTTCGGTTTGAGGAGCCCATCTATTCTTAAAGAAAAATAGGAGCGAGTGCTCAATTTGCGGCCATTTGACTAGCAGAATACTATTATCATTATTACTGAAGTACTTCAATAAAGTTACGTGTAATCCTAGTCTTCGCAGTTGACAGCTAGCAGACCAGCAGCGAGACGTCAATCTTAGCTGCGCATGAAGGTTGTTGCTAGACAGTGGCTATCTATAATGAAGTCGATCATGGCTATTTGTATCGCCGGGAATGAAAGTAATGCCACGTGCGGCTTTAACACAATAGCTTCCGGAGACTACGTGCAGGCAATCAATTTCCTTAGCTAAAGGTGACAGTGTGCAACGTAATACCCTATGGTTGACACAGAGGAAAATGAAAGATGAACGATATATCTCTGTTGTGGTTTCATAGCTTGATATAAACAAAGCAACACGGTGAGAACAATAGTATTAATAATAATAACAAAAAAATGTTGGCCATCCAAACCAATGTAAACAAGTAAAGCAAAGCTTTAAATATATCGTGCTCTAACAGGACTAGAATCTACGCATGGTCATTTAGAATTCTCCAAGTTGATAGCTATATCGAATATTGGTATAGGCTCCATAACAGAAAACAGCCGTTTGAAACGAACCGAATTCTGAACTTGCAATATAAAATTTGATCTATCATTAAAAAGACGTTCAATCTACGTGACGTGCATACGACGTAAATAAACTGAACGTTCTTGGCGCTTATATCGATTATTTAACGTTCTTCAATTAACGGCTTTTAAAAAAGCTAGTCGGCGGAATATTAATTTAACTGTCGTTATTTTTAATAGATCTGAAGTTTGAACGGTCGGCATACATCCCATTCGAATGAACGGTTAACGTCGGGCGACTTCAGAATGAGGACGTAAACTAGCGCAATGAGCTTGCAAGCGAGAAGGTCCTCTGATTATGGTATCCTGCAGGATATTCTGTCCGCTTTGGGGCACTGGCATCCATATCGAAGAGCCCAGTTGGCACATCACGTACTGTGCGCGGCGGGAATTAGCATTTCTATGTACGCTCTTTACGTCGAAATTAACAAAAGTTAGTCAATCCAATGCCTTATTTTTCACTTTTTTCAGAAACAATCATTATACACATGTGAACAATATAAATTGTCCTGATAGACAAAAAGGGGTCTATTTCTATATGAAACTATCAATTTAGATGACTAAGTGCTGCCAATTTATCCAGTATTTGCTCCCTCTGCCTGTTTTGCGTTTTTACTGGAATCTATCTGCTGAAATTGTAGTTATAATCATGAATAATGGCTATGTGTCTATCTATCTACCGTAGCTCGCCAACCGGACTACAAGTCACTGTGCGATCTAGCTGAGCACATCAGTTGTTCCAGGGTTCTCACGTCTGAGTAAGTATCTACTATCTACGAACCTATGTTGGGACATTGTTATTAAACTGCTGTTAGGAATGGTTAAAAAAAAAAGACATATTACAAGCAAATGCTAAAGTACGACGTCAATTTTCAAAATCCAAAGTGATTATCGTTTTGTTACTGAAACATGCTATAGGTTAAAATTTATCTTTATTAAGTTGAGACCTTATTTATTTTTAAGCGAATTTCCTGTTACGCAGGTGTGTCACTAATAGTTGATAATGACGGATATATTTAGTCGATGTAAAAATATATTATTGAAATTATCGCGCCATTGCTCAATTCGTTCAGATAATGATTTAAAGCATTTTGCTTAAAAAGAGACTAACATTGTTGTTTACTACTTTATTAGACTGCATATAATCAGTTTGTTACTAAATGTAAATTTTTGAGAGCAATTCTTTTATGTCAGTGATCATATTACTTAGAACAAGGCTCGTAGACACATAGTAAAAATATCTTTTTCGCTTTGCTTGTTTAAATTTTGTTTCGCGTCTATTAGATATTCTGAGCAGTCATCGTATGTGTATGTACATTTACAGGTACTCCCGTGGATTTGGACTTCTGGGTCGCCTCTTTGGTCACGATTCTGCCCTGAACATGCCCAATTGTGCACTTGGCATCGTCTTCTATATGATTCTTTTTTGTCTTGGTAGGTGCTATGTGGAAATCAGGATATCTCATCAATTATTCTTGATGAATTACACCTTAAAATGTCGCTAGACATATTGATACGATAGACGAATATCCTGTGGATGCCTCCGTATACCCACGCAATAGTCTTAAAAATGACGGATTTATTAAAATTACTAGATGCAATCAAAAGTCATTACAGGGCTAATGCTGCTAAAAGTATAGGACTTTATACATACTGATGATATATATTTATTCTAACAGGATTTCTGCATCAACCAAACGTGCTGTTGCTCACAGTCTTACTTAGCTTTTTGGCTAATGGCATGTCGTTATACCTGGCCGCTGTCCTATTCTTTGTCCTCGAGGATCTTTGCATCGTCTGTGTAACTACGTACATCATTAATGCGGGTCTACTTGTCGCATCGGCTTTCCGTTATGTACGCTGTCCAAAACGAGCGAAAGAAAGGGCGTTTCGAAGCAGCCTTAAAAAGTTCAATTAAGGTAATTTTTATGGATGTATAGTTAGCCGTTAAGAACAATAGTTCGACGTACAAATGCATACATGGCCTATTGTAGCTTTCTGCGACTATATCGATTATACATCAAGGTGTGGGCATTAAGTGAACCAATCGGACGGCTTAATAAAAATCTAGCTTTACAAGCTAGGTCATTTAATTTAAAACATTACATTAGCTACCTAATTGGCATCAATAGGCTTTCTATATGACATGACTGGAAAGAAAAAAGATATGCTACTATTTCGCCATACCTTTGATAAAATGAAACATCTGAAGCGGTAGAATTCGTGTCAAAAATACTGTGCCAAAAAGTCCTTAATTTTCGTGTAAAACCATCGTTCAAATACATTGATCTACAGGTAGCTCTCATTGAAGTCCATGTATTATCCTATATAACTAATAAACTTAGCGGTTTCTGCTCCTACTTGTTGTTTCTATTTTCCACTGTGTTTGCATGCAGTTAATGACAGAAAAGACTCGTATTTTAATTAGAGCATTGGCTTATTGCTTTAATGAGCCAAGGTGTAATTTGTAATAAGTATCGCAATTATTTATTACATACATATTACATGCTGCTTTCAACAAATATTTGTGTTCAAGATATGTACATACAAGGTTTGCATTCTACATAAGCTTTATAACATGACGTATTTAAAGAATAAGCAAATTGATGCGTTATAAGAAAATTATTATGGTCTTGTTGTTGACGTCTAATATAATCGTAGACACGTGTGTCTCAAGTTCCACATAAGAGTCACAAAATCAAGCTTGCTGTTAGATTGTCGCACGTGTGAATAATCGTTTTTATGACAGTGCTGCGTTTAGTTGTGAGCGAAATATTATTCCAATTAAGGTACAAGTTTAGCCTCATTCCTTTTATCTTCTTGAACTATAAGATGATTCACACTTCTGAAAGTCAAAGTTGAGTTCGACTACAGAATTATGCACGAAACGTTAAAGATTCTCATTATTGGTCAAGTTTTAACGAATAATTTTCGTTTTTTTTTGGTTTCTACTTGCTTTTTATTAATGGGAAGTTATTCTAGCTTCTAAGCTATATTATAATTCGATCTTAATTCAATGTCTTAGCTTTATCACCAGGTCTAAAAAAGTTATTGTATTAATGTAATACAAAAAGCAGTGTTTAAAATACTCTGCTAAACGTGAAGTTAACAAATAACGGTTTCGAGGAATTCATTTGCACAGAGAAACCATAAGAATATATGGATCGGAAAAAAATTCGAGCAAAAATACAATAAGACATTTAGCAAAAAACATCGTATTTATAGACCGCTGTAATTGCCTCTTTGCTACAAGTAAACTTCAATCCTATCTATAACATGATCCAGGTTTTGTTTTTACACCCACCTTTTTTCTCACGTTACCTATACATCGAATTACTACTTGGAAGTTAAAGTTTTTAGATCTAAGAGCTTCTTTAAATTAGTTTTTATCTAGCTAGTTAATGGTGCCCGATTCGTTATCAAAAAGACGACCTTAACAAGTTCAACGTTCTAACCATTAATTCTTACATAATAATATTCTATACAGTAGTCGTAGCAACGGGATAGTTATTTGGCATATGCGAAAAAATTGATTTATAAGAATATGCTGTAACCGCCTATAACTAATTAGATCCGTAGATAACTAGGTAGTCTACGACTTTTTGGTCTAGATGATAGATGATGTTCTAGCTTCGTAGATAGCCATCTTGATAAAGCTTCGTCCTATATCTACTGAAACAGCTGATAATAATTACAGTTTACATAAAAATATATTAGACGCATTCATTGAGAAACATGGTAGGTTAACAAAATTTAAAACAAAAGAGATTAATATGAATAGGCACATGCGTTGAAAGGTAACATTTTTTATTTGCGATTGCTAGCCTGTACTGCTAGCTTTATCAAACAATTGTATGTGACCCAGCCTTTATTTGAAGAGTACATATTTGTTTTGAAATTTACATAGCCTCTATATATCGTAGATGTGCCTGAACTTTGATAACAGGAAATATAGCAATATTTGATCACACTAATCAATTCCGAAACGGAAAAAGAGGAAAAAATGTCACGGATATTTTTAAAGTTGGATAGCTTAATATTACCGTTAGAGAAGGACAACCATAGAGATCCTAAAGCAGGCCGGTTCAAATTTTGAAAGTAATATAATTTAAACGTCTGGTTCACAATGACTCTATAGCTTTCTCTTCAGCTTGTGGTTGTGCACACATTTATGCAGAAAGTCTGACTCTCACTTATTAGCTCACTCACAAAAAGCAACATCTACTCTTAAAAACTTGTATATACGAAATCATTCAGGTTTCTTCAATTATAGTAGTCACTACCATATTCAAGTTCCAAAAAATTCTTTTTCACTAAAAGTATTAACAGTAATAGTATCTTGCAAAAAGTTCTTAGAACTAAACTGGCAGTCGGCCACGTTCTGATCGGCAGTATAAACTTCATAGATAGAGTCTTACCCTTCATTACTTTTATTTGTATTTTGATTCCAGCTAGAACTTGGCCGCCGCCATTTTTAACAGCTACTTGACGGATACACGGATGAAAACATCAATTTTTTTTATCGCTGCCTTTGTTCGGTGCCTTTCTAGGAACATATATCTCTTTTTTTTTCTCAGAAGTATATGGTGAAAAGTTCAAATATGGTAATTGTTACAAACACACCTCAACTCTGGATTGCAGCACTTTCTTTCGACACTCGGAGCAAGGTTATTTGGTCATATATTTAATTTCGATGACCAATCCTAACTTAGCGGTCAACCCATTTTCATTTCCAACGGACATAAAATATTTTTGCCTAAAAGAGTTCCCGCAGACGATCTATGACCATGAATCTAATCAAACAGATGCTTTTACCTGAACTCAAAATAGAGGTTACTGACTCTGTGCTACAGTTTTAGGTAAAATATGGGGTAGCAGGAGAGGCGCTCATCGGCATTGCCATTAATATTTAGAAGCCGACGTATATTTGCCTACTATTTAACGCATCCTTAAAGTAGTCTGAAGATTCGCCCATGCTGCTTATGAGAAATTGTTCCGATCGCAGCTGGAAGTGATTTCTGAATGGTGGTAGATCTCAGTTGACTTTACTCAAAAGGCTCACGTCCACGGGAATTTTGTACGCCGCTCCATCGAATGAAATTCCCATTGGTCCCTGATAATATCTGTTCAACCAGGACGCAAAATAACAAGATACCGTGTAAAAGGTTTTCATTATTAGGATTCATTAATCTATAGAGTCACTGCAAATCTCGACAATTCCAAATTCGTCTGCAGCACGTGTACTAGCATGTGAGTTATTTCGTAAGCAAAGTCTTTCTCAAGTTACCTCTTTTAACTGCGACAGCACAGGGAATCGTTCCTCCCTTGGTGTCTACCCTCATATTTAAGGAGTAAATTTTCTACATTATGAACGGCCTATACTAAATCTTTTGGTTAGTCGTGGATTCGAACGCAACCTGCCAAACTGGCCGGAACTATTGCTTGATTGTAAATTCCTGCCGGATTAGCCCCTTAATATTTAGTTTTCACTGTGTGTCTCTTTATGTTACCACTTCATCCTATTAGTTCCTATAGTTAGACTGTGCGTACGAACCTCCAGAATAACGAAGATCCCCTTTTGAGGTGCCCCAGTTGGGAGAGATGTTTCCAACATTGTGTCCACCCTTCGTAGCGAGCTAGATGGGGGGGTCCACCAGCTTCAATGGGGGCGCCGCTTACGGTCATAACTGTACCGACAACCTGAAACGGATACGTAATCGAAGCGGCCAAAAAATTTGTCGTTCCCGTAATGTAACTCCGCACCTGAAAATATTTGTAAAAAAGAAGGAGACGCTTGTAACTAATAGCATTCAATCGAAGATTCAATTTTTTTCAAGATTTTTCCCACCCATAGTGGTCTTACTAAATCCTTATTAGTATACTTCATGCAGCACTTTTTACAGCCAGTTCAGAGTTTTCAGTTTCCGGAGTGATATTACTGCGTACCGATGCCTCCTGTACAGCGTAATTATTGATGACGAAGGCGACACTTCCGGCTAACCAGATCCGAAGAATTTCACCGGTTAATCGAGGCATTAATCCGTTCCATAAACCTGATACTCCTTCATCCTTGATTATTTCACGGAATGAGCTTAATAACTGAAATTTTATGAGAACGGTAATTTTATATTTTAGCATAATAAAAAAAAGAGTAATCATATAAGATACTTATCACATGTAAACTGCGCATCCGTAATATTAAACATCGTACCACTACTAATTACGACTGCTGCGTGGGCTGTTAGGATCGACGTAAGAACGAGACATAACTGACCGAGGTATATTTGAGCTCCCCACCGATAAACTGAGCCATCATTCGACAAGAGATGACGTAGAATGGTTGCGATAAAATAGTTGCTACGGTGCGGGCAACCATTTGCTGTGACGTTCGTTGAATAAAATTCATTATTTTTACGTCTTCTGCATTAAGTTCCTGATCTTCCTCAAATGTTGGGACTGGCGGCATGGCTGCTGTCATCTGTGGAGTGGTAAAGCAATTACGACACGATTAAAGAAAAGTTAAGAAACATTCAAGGATTTCTTATGCTAGAAAATAACATAACACTGGAGTAATTCAGAAACATACACAGGTAGAATAAATATACTTACAATGCAGTCATATTATCTGTTCATCATTACAGAAGGTATTTACAGGGTTAGCCGAAGGTCTCCGAATAATTTAGAAATTTCATTCTTATTTCAAATCTGCCAAATTATTATTACAACGTTGTTGCAATATTGAACATTGTACATTACACTTGCATCATAGACACCTTAAGGTCATGTCTATACTCCTATGACACAGCATACTCTGATATAAGTCAGTAAAATCCTTTGAATGATCACAGTAGTCATTATTACAGCTATTGCACTTTAGACATACTAATGTTATGGAATTATAAAATAGTATGATAGGAATATAGAAACGGCGTTCGGATCAAATGTGTTACTCACTTAAATAAACAATTTGCATATCTTCTGCTATTTTAACAGACGAAGAATGAAGACTAGCAGATTTTTGGATCTGATATTCGGGTTACTCTGTAATTATATTTTTGGTCGCTATAGAAGCTGTAGACGCTTATTGTTGGAAGGTCCATTGAACATAGTGTTATGTATACGCACGTGAATCATAACGACGTTCTGCGTGAAGTTCCCGCAGAGGCTTGCACCAAAGCCTCGATATAATCCAAAAAAGCCATCCACACTCCGAATGTACCTGTCACACACAAAGTAAACAGAACAGTCATGAATAATAGTTAGTCTCAACGACTTTTTTGGAAATCTCGGCGAAAAAGAATTTTTATCGAAACAGGAAAAGGTAGTTCTATAAAATGTAAAAGTTACCGTTCTATTCCATAGTAGTGCATAAAATACGTTATACTCTAGAAGCACTACGTCACTGTGAAATAAAAGTGAGAGAAGTAAATATTCGTGTGGAAGATTTGCAGTCAAGAGCCTACTTTGGCAAACAAATATGGCTTGTTGTATAATAACAGGTTAACTTCAGTAAATTAGGTTTCGAGTACTTTAACATTGCAAATCTAGATTCTAAAACCGGCTGTAGATTAAGAATTGATATCACATGCGAGCATAAAGTGCAACGAATAACTTTAAAAAAAACATACGCACCAAAACAACCGGTATAGCAAATAGAAACTCAATATTCGTTTCAGTTCTATATCTGTTTGACTCCGGAATGCTAGTAAAATTGATAAAATGTGTCAAGTGCTTGATTCTTTTCTGTTTTCGAAAGTACAATCCAAACTATTGAAGAAAAGCTGAAATACTATACCCCATATAGGTGAACACTGAGGGAAGCCTTAGGGCAGGCTTTCCGAAAAGGCGGCGAGTCGGCACGGGTTCGATTGGTTCGTAACCAAGTTGTATAAGAACTCTGACATAATCTAACGGGTGTATTACTGCACCCATTACACACTTGCCAGCAACTGCGTACCTACCAAAAGAGATAATTGTTTAACACGTGATGACACAATGTCGTGCTGAAAATGAGAGCCTATTAAAATCGTAAAATCAAACCCAGCATTGATCTAGTAAAAAATAAAAAAACGCTGACTAAATTTTCCTTTCTGTATAGTAAAAGATTACGCTCCAAACTAATTTGACGTCGATCCTAAGGAATATATTTCAATCCCGTAAACGCCACCTTCGCTGAAAGGTAACACTAACTAGAATCTATATCTCAATACAATGCAAAATTTTAGCTCTTTTTTTCTATAGTGTCAGTTACGCTAGATAAAAATTAAAACAAGCAAGCTTTATAAATAAATCGGTACAGTGAAGTTTAGTTTACCATGGAGGTGACTGGTGGTCGTCATCTTCTTTTTTACGTCGCTGCTCAAGATCCTCTATATGCGACATAATTACGCTATCTGCAATGCAATGACGTGGATAACTGTTAAGGCTCCTCAGCAGAGAAAATTAAACAAATCTGAAATAAAAGTTTAAAATTAAAGTAGGTAATTTCTACTCAAATTGGCAGGTTTTCTGAAAATTGGAATGCTAATAAATTGCTTTGACTAGTAATATATCGAGGTTGAAAACCAAGTGTGGTTTGTCTGAGCCTGTTAGTTAGGTTTCCTGAAGCAGAAAGGGCCTTTACGTTTTTTTTTTCGTAATAAAGAAGTAACAGTTCAGTTGAACTACGGTGATGGTAACCGAACTGCTTAAAACTGTAATCTTTTAAAAACGGACCTCACGGTCAGACTGAAATTCGTGCTTAAGGGAGCGCTCGTTGTGATCCTCTTTGTCCCAGTACTGCTCATACTCGTTAATGCTACTCTTAGTTGGTACTACCATAGTATGAATGCAATAATTCAGCAGATATTAATAAACACCGACAGTTCAACTTAACATTAATCGGATGAGATTATCAGCTTTATGTAACGCTTTAAAAGCTCTAAATTATTGCTTCGATACAATTAAACAATGCCGATAGTTGGAGTTCAACTCCGACATTGCCCTGGTCAAATTTCATCTTCAGGTACAATACAGTCCTTCATTTTTCTAGAGGAATACATGTACAGTATAATGTAATTCTTAGCTGTATATAAATGTTAAAGCACATTAGGAACATTTTTGTTATGTCAATTAACCAGATTAATAATCAGGATGGTCTGACTTTTCACTTCCATTTCTCGAATTATTTGTCAAATACTGTTCAGCTAGTATAGTTTCGCCATTCTAGTCCTATGTTATGTTTTGAAATTGGCCTGTGTCATCATAAATCATGGGAAGATTACATGTATCACTGATTACATTACGACGCACTGAGGTTTTAGTCCTTTTAGTAACTTTATTTTCACAAAGTGTGAGGAGTCGCAGTTGTATGTGTCGTTGACTCCTAATCTTTTTCGATAGTTCTGTTCCATATATTTTCTCATATGTACGGTTGCCCCACCTTATAAGTATATTTGCGTAACAAAAACAAAACCCAATGAACGTTACCGACTACCTCTCCTCTCAAATTAAGTAACGTTTGCGGTAGAGGAACTGGTCGTCTCCTCGATGAACTATCCATTTGAAATTAATCGGGCAGAACTACAACAGCCTCTGTTGCTTAGCAGATAGTGAACTCTAGTAAAAGTCTACTAAATTAAATAGTTAAAAATGCATTTCTCATGTCAAACATTAGTTTGATTTGAATGAGAAGGAAAACAGATTTGTTACTTAAAAAGCAATCAGTAGCGAGTTACAAAATAGATGCTTTGAGCGACTGATATCTTGAGCATCGAAACCGGCCTTTGCCATTCAAAAAACACGTTTGTTCTAACGTATAGCTTAAGGACAAATATATTAACTTTCGAGAGAGACTAACATGATAGTAGAAATTACAGTTGAACCACGTAAAGCACATACTATTTTGGATTGAAGGAATGGATGAAGGATTTTGCGTCCGGAACTGCCGTTAGGCCTTCCAGCATTATAATACAATTACATTATAATAACAATTTTTATATATGTAATCAATGCAAACCGACGTACAGTTTATAGGTGATCTTTAAACGTTTACTAGTTTTTATGTAGTACAATGCGGTTCTGCGTTACAAAATAAGCTATATACGTACTTGACGATTTACAAACTCTCATTTTAGAGATTACGATGAATAATCAGACGCTGGTTACTTATGAGCCCTCTCAAAGAAGATCTACTGCAAGCATCCGAAGTACTAACAAGCAGCTAAAGCGAAACCTTAGTTACAGACGATCTTACGCGGTACAAATGTCACACAAAGGAAAAACATGGAAATAACAACAGTAACAATTATCTTCGATTGGCATTGCACACTGCATTTTACAATTGCTGTTAATTGCAGCAAATGGGAATGCTATTTTTGATGCGTACAGTCACTTTTATTACAGTCACGATTTGACTGTTCTTCTGAATACACAGAAGACAAGTCGTCTGTCATATTTGCTTGCGCTGACGTTTACGTTGTTCTTTGTTTAGAGAATTTGGTCAGGTACCGACTGTATAAAGACAGCATGCTTTTTGCGCCCTCCTCAAGCAACTATAATTTCAAATGTCCGCACGACTGTAATGAGAGGCAATGACTATTGGACATAGAAATCTTATCTGAAAATATTTTAGAATAACTGCTGATTAACAGATATGTTATTAACTGTGATAAAATAAACTACACAAAATACATGGAAATTACACAGTAAATGATATGTATGCAAATTACGTACAGACTAAGCATTAAATTGTTTTGCAGTATTGCCACTATAGTGTATATAAATGCTTTGTTTATATTTATAACAAAAAAATCGTTCGTGTTTCGAGTCCAAATATGTACAAATATTTATGCATTTTATCGTTCTTAGCGATTGCTAACTGGATAGGTTGATTAATAGCAATTCGTCCTCTTCGGACAGCAGAGACCCTGTCAGCGCTTCCGATTGGTACTGTTACTGTTAACAATATAAACAAAATATTTTCTATTTCTTTCTCTTACCGTTGGGAAGTATTTGCTCTATAGTTATCAACCTGTCTTCAATTTATGGGGACTACCTTGCGATGAGACTGCACTTCTCTTTGTGAACGACCTCATAACACAAAACAGCATTCACCAGTCAGTTGGCGTTCACTGACGCCGGCTGATCTGCTCACCACAGCACATTTGAATTGTGAGCGAAATCAAAAATACACAGATAATACGACTGGTAAACGTTTTCCTACTAGCTACTACAAATACGAGGATTTCTATTGTGTCCTAACTTACCACCAAACTGGGCTCGATCTCTCTTTATCTCGGTAGCGAAAGAGTAACCCAACGCGTGGATCCCCAAACGTCCGGAATGATTCAGTTCTGTTTACGGTTCGCTCAGCTGACGAACGGTTAACTAGATGAACGCATAGCGATAAAGAACTCGCTCTATTAAAATCTGTTTGTGAAATCGCGTTTTAACTTTTAAATGGCGGGCGATCCGCCGGTCACTCTGATCCTATATTCAGCTGGCAAGGAATGAGTGCCTGAGATAGTTATAATGCATATTTTCTGAGTTTTATGACCGGTACAGTCGTTCCGCATTGCTTTAGATGGACGAAGTGGAAATAATAAGATGTTGAGGCTCAAGTTATGGATCTGCGTATGTTCTGCTAAATTAACGGGTAAAGCAGGTGTGCGGTTGCGTAATCAATTGTAGAAATAAATTTTACCGAATCCTCTAGATGGCCAAAGCTTCAAGTAGCCTTAGACAATGACTCATAAATTAAGGGAAAAACCTGCGCATCAATTTTTTGTTTCTGTCGTCATTACGTTTTTCGTACATCATTAGGTCACGTTAATTCTCAAGTAGCTAATTCGAACATTAAATAACCCAAAGCACAAACATTCTCATGTCCTTCCAGGAGTGGATTTCAAAAGAAAAGTATGCAGTATTAGGCCTCACGATGACGCAACGCTGTTTTACTTAAAACAGATTAAACAAACTATATTTAAGTATGCATCGTCTTACTAAATAGGTACTAAGTGTATTTACAGTGATCAAGCAATTATATATCATGACAATACTTTTTTCGACTCTTTGCACGATCGCAACGTTTCGCGGGTTGATTTTTTTATTTTTATTTTAGTAAATATCGGAAGAAAAACATGGGTAAAAGATTACCTCAGGTCCATCAGTTGTGCATGATTCGAGCGGATTTGCAAGCGCCCAAGGCCGGAAGCTGTAGTAATTTGAAAATAAGTAACAAATGCAAAGTTGAAAGCACATGCTTCCCTTCTGGTAGTTTTATACGATTTAGAGCCATTAGAATCTCGTAGCCGAAGCTTTCGAATAAATCTTGGAATTTTTTTTTATTGATTTTAACTGCAACTGAAGGCTCTGAAAGGATGCCTAGTTAGAGATACCTAGAAATAGAACACAGGGTCAGACTATAAAATGTCATAGTACTGCTTTCATTGCCCAACTACAAAATAATATATAAAGTTTATAAATTGTTCAATGCGTTCGATATGTTTCGAAGTCAACAATATATTTACTATGTAGAATTCGTACCTGAGAAATATTGTAATCTTTGTATGTGGCCATCCTAACGAGAAGCTTTTTATTTTTATTGCTCACCGAACTGTTAGATAGTATGGTTACATTAATCAAGTACGCAAATTGGTTTTTCTATCGATTTCTTAAAGGCTTTTAGGTGTATCTACGATTGTAAGCCAGTTACTCAAGCATTTTAAGACTGTCAGCATTAAATTAAAGTTTTTATTCAGAACGAATAAATATAGACTTGTACTTTATTTTTGTTTGGCTTACATCAATACCTGAGGCTCAAATCTGAACAAAAGTCAGATTTACATATCAGACGGTTATTGTTTTCAAATGATTGAAATTACCAACTGAATCGATTATTCATGATGTTATATATATTCAATATTATCAATGGTGAAAATATTGGCTATATAATTTCATTTCAGAAATGCTACAAAGGGACCATAAAAGTAAGGTTTATTCTATCGCGTTCCATTTCAGATCTGATAGATGGCAAACACAACGGATATTTTTACTTGCTTTGTGTATTTGCATATAAACTTATTAACAGTAAATATTAAAAAAAAAAAAAAACACAAATTACCTTTTACGAATAATTCAAGTCAAGCAAAAAATCTAACCTTGAATTTGCTAAGAGTATACATATACATTTGTGTAACGTAATGATTAGAATGTGCGTGTTACAAAGTTGCTAAAATTATTCATATTACATCTCCATATTAGGGTCATACATTTTTTTTACATATATTAACTGAAATCGGTAGGTGGATGATAGAAAAACGCGTCCAACAAAAAGTAAACAATCGGTTAATACACGACAACGCAGTGTCTATTTATCCCTAGATATTCACGAAGAAATTTCGTCTAGCATAAAACTATTATCAATGAAAGTAATATGGGCCAAAGACAATGTCAACAACTATTGTATAGATCATTACCTGTTTAACCGGCCGCATCGCTATCGTGTTATTGATTCGATCGTTTCTCGCGATCCCAAGTAATGTTCACTTGTCTAATCAAGTTTGTCATTGTTCAGGGAAATATTATGGTTTCTCACGTAAAATGATGAAGGCTTCATGATAAACCAGCGAGAGAGTGATTGGAAGCTAATGTGAAAAGCCGTATTGCTTGTGTAGCATAATGGGTTAAAACTGAATCATAATAGTAATCGAAACCGTAACCACTAGGTCTCGTAATAGAGTTTATATTGGATTAATGTCTAAGAGGTAATGTTGTATAAATATCATAATAAGAAAAAAGTTATATTATCTGTCCAAGAGTTTAATGAAAGCATTTTTCGGGCAAAACTTTGCTCTCTTGACGAAATAAGGTCATTGTTAGGACGACATTGTGACGCTGTATTTATCGCCGTTTGCCCTTCTTGCTACTCTGCAAAACTAGGACATTTATACAACTTCTGCAAGCTGTCGTTTCCAGAATTATACGCGCTATGTCTAAGCTGGCTATTTACCGTCTAAGCCTGCTCTACTTACTAAGGCTATCGTTAAGCCGCTAAAGATATCTTCGCGCGCAGATTCAATCGACAATCCATAAAGTGTTAAGTGGTGCAAATTTTACTGAATGATTTCATCAAAAGCTTTCGTAAAAAAAAAAAGGGAAATGCAATAAAGTGTTCGCCTATTATTTATACAATTGAGCCACTCTAAGGCCATTTAGTGGCGTGATTGTGAATCTCCGTTTTGTAAGGCGCACAATCTTCATCTGGGACCCGGCAACGGTTCTTACCTGCTACGGTTCATTGTTATTACTATTATATTAGAAGTGGAATGGACAGCATTTTATTGGCTACCGCTAAGAAATGGCGGCGTTTTCCAGGCCGCTGATGTCAAGGGTCCGCTGCCACATCGGAGAGCAGGATAACCTTGCCCTTAGGTTTATTCTATCATGTAGCCTCGTTTACTAGATATATTCGGGCCATACACGAACCTTTGCTGACTGTCTTGACTTTTACGCATTTTGTTTATGCATTATATTAGAAACCTTTCTACCATATGCAAATTAGGGTCCTTTTGGTACGGGGATCTGGCTTAGACGTACTTTCTGAAGTCCTCCAATCGCTTCCTCGTTTTCTATAAACATAACGGCTACTCTTTCAGTCACCTTTAGAAACCTATCTGCGTAAAAACCTGCCATTACAGCTTCGTATTACCTTTTCGCGCGTGAGATGTTGGGAGTTAATCAGATGCAATGCCTCCTCGTGCCTTCCAATAACCTTGTACCGATCTTCTCAGATATGGAGTTTAGCTCGCACATGGACAAATATTGCGGGCTACTGCCAGCGAAAGGCAAAGGAGAGAGGTGCCATAAACTCAAGACGAGAAGAACGGTCTTCATTGCTCACTCAAATTATTTTCGATAGGTATACAAGATGTAGTATACAATGTCACTGAAGCTACATCCAAATAAATTTGCAAAAAATAGTTATATCATTTCCATCTGTTTAGTCTAGGACCTATGAAATTAACGCTAAAGTGCTCTGCATTCATTTTATGCAGAACTATGGATCAATGAGAAAACCTTTTTAAGTGGCGGAAATTGTCCATTGACGCGCACACTTAGTAGTAAACAATACTCGAAAAAAAAAAAAAAAAAAAAACCCGCTGTTTCACTCGATGAAGCACGTAGTTATATAAGCATCATGACTCGATCCAATGAATGAGCATAATGTACTACCTCTACAACGTGACTTTATTTTACGGAAAAGTTTAATGTAGTGATTATATTATCAAATGAAACCGGCGAACAAAAGCGATGGATGACGTCTTCCTCGGGCCACAGTAATATGGAGCATCAGAAGTACTGACTGAACTGACCGATACCGCTTAGCGTGAAATTGACGTTCTAGCTAGCCAATGCCTAGCATCACTACGCGCGGTACTGATCTTGACGCATAAGAACAACCATGTGCGCACATAAGACTCTGGTGGTTACCGATAACACAAGGCATATATATATAATGTCTACGTTTACTAATAGTACATATTTGTCATTGAGTACAGTTGCATCTACAGGAAGTGCGCAAACCTAACCTAACGGTTAGGTTTGCGTACTTCCTTTAGCTGCGATAGTTGTCTAGACCGAATAGTTCTTTCGCAATTAATCACCTCGGGTAAACATGTTTTTCAGGTAGTTTACTCTTCACGTTACCATATTATTTTCATCAGATATCGACATTTTTAAATATGAGGTAGTTCTCGAGAAAAAAAAAGTAGTGAACGATTTAAATATTATTCTCCTTCTCGGTGGGACAATAAGAACATTTTTGGCCATAATATCATTACGGGATTTGGATACTTTCTTTTAAAGTACTACATTTTTCCATTAGTAGTGCCCCTACTAGTTAAGACAGTTTAAGAGTATGAAGTACAAACAAGCATACATGTACAACGAAACGCAATTGAGCTTCTATAGAAACATTTTTAGAATCCTTGTTGTGTGGAATAACGTTACTATATTACCTGAATTAACTGAAGCTGATTCCTCAAGATGGTGTAGGTAATGGTATTAAACAATATGACACGTATGTTCCAGTTACGTAATAGTGATTTATAAAAACTGAAATTAAAGTCTATTAAAGCTACTACGGGTCTAGTAAAGCCACATTAAGGCAACATTTCGAGATACATCTTTCGTTATTTCGAGAACCAGCTATTCTATTTACATGTGGCTAAATAGAAAATGTATTGTTCTATAGATTAGAACTTTCGATCATTTCAACGGCTACGTTTGTTGGATCTAATCACACGCACTCAGCAATGGGTAGTAGCAGCTTAAATAAGATTCGATCCGAGCAGTACAGCAAAATTGTGATTGCTCACAAATCTAAATCTCTACTAAATAGATATTACATTACTCATCTCTGGTCCTGTTCGGGAAAAAATTCTGCTGAAGTAAAAATAAATCGTGAATAGAAATGCGCCTTGCGCCTACAATGTGATAATCGCTTATGTTCAAAATATAGGTTAATAAACGTGTGCAATAATTTATTCTTTCATACGCTCAAAAGCTACGTTGCCGAAGCACGATAAAGGGGTGTCGTTCCTATGCATGAAAAAAAGAGACTCCATCCCGCCTTCTACGGAAAAAAATTGTTGCGCTAATTAATTACTCGAGATTTACAAAAATACCGCTTCCAGCAATATGGTACATCAGTACAGTAATAAGGTAAGGAAAATCGTAGATTTTCGTTCACTGGAATGTTTTCACCGTGATTTTTCGTGTAGCTGCTTCTTCTTCAAGAAACACCTACCGAACAACACTATAAGAACTTCGAAACGTACACCCAATCATAAGGCTAAATCTAATTGTATGTATACAGATGAGTTTGACCTGTGAAAAAGCTTCCAAAAATGATCGATACGCTTTTAACCAACTGAATTCGATTTCACGGAAAAGTCATTCGTCTTCTTAAAACCCGATATCTTTAAAGGCAATATATCAACAGGCGTCTAAATCATTTAATAATTCAAAACAATCTGCATAAGCCAATAGTTTGCCCCAAGACTAAAATGGCCAACCTAAATTATACCCGAGCTTGTTTGTTGATATGTTCTGAATGCTCGCTTTCGTAAAATTTTAGTTAGGTAATTATTGAGCTAGTTTTGGATAAAGCCATACATCTAAAAGGACCGCCGACAGTTTAAAGAGTCACATTCAGATGAGTAATTTAATATGAGCCCATTAGTGATTGAGGGTTTTTTGCCGTTGAAAATCGTTGTACGCGCTCCACGCTGATACATACGCCGTATTCAGTTTGTTACTGGACGAAGGCTTCCGATGACTGCTCACGTTCGTTCGATACATCGCTCGCAGTCTTGGCGTCCCATTTATACGATATGATTATATTTCTTCTTAACGATTTCACCTACGATTATGGTTGGTGCTATTGGAGTTCTCATTGCTGACCGAGTCATCGCTGATTGAGGCTGTTAACGTGCTTGCTGTTCGTTTTCGGTTTTCCTATCAAATCTCCGTCGGTTGAGTTGGAGCAATTCCCGGTCGCACGTAATAGACACTGCCTACTCGCCGGTTCTCACCGGTCACGTAACGGCGCACTCGTTCTCTGTTTCGTAGGAAGACAGCCAATACAAGCGTGAACACAACTATGCACGAGCATAGCGCCACTACTGAAAAAAAAAAACGGAGACCGAACAAATAACAAATTTATAGGTAAATCGAAAGGGGGCCAAAAAAACCCTGAACTGGAAAATTGTGCTATTGGTATCTTAAAATGAAGGATTACCATATTGGGTCTCTTTATAGTGTATTCATTTCATAAAGATGCTTGTGTACCCTGTGATGTTTCTTTATATCTGGCAACTCTAATGTTATATATACATATATACGTTCATCGCAAACCTGCGCAAATGATAATTTGATTCTGACATGGAATTTTTCAGCTTTCAGCTATCTAGAATAATCCGGCACTTTTATCGAGGACTGTATGTTTTATTGTTTAGCAATGAAGATGTAACTCGTTTGAATGACTGTTAACTGATAGATACGGTTGTTCCGATCGTTCTTTTCGTCCCGAATGGGGTTTGTGCGCTCGAGGATCCACCGACCCTCTGAGGTGCGAATACCGCAATCGAAACACTCACACATATCAGTTGAGAACAGGAGAATTATCCATGACGTCATGGCAGATTCAGCTGCTGGTTCCACTTCAACAGCGTTTTTGTTCATAAGCTTGGTTATTGCCGGACCTTTGTTGATGTATCTATCGTCTATTTGGTCTGCAGAAGTTGCGTCGTAAGCACCCATCGCCGGTAGCTCGTATATCCTGACAACACCGGTCAAATACTACGAACTAATTCTGAAATCAGGAAAAATTATACCTGTCATCTACGGTATATATCGTGTTACGGCTATATAGTGTATGTTATTAAAAATGAGTTCACTAAGAAGATCCACTTGGATCCTGCTGATCGAGCTAAAGCTTCACTCTTCATTTACTCCAAAAGTTTGTAAACCACTCATCTTAGATTCAAAGTAATAATATTACTTCATGTCGAACTACCTAAAATTACAATATTAGTAATTGTCATAACGTTGCTTAGATTGTATTGAAACACTCAAAAATAAATATTGCTAGATCTAATTTTAGGTAGGATGTAATAGTGATTGGAGCTTCAACGCGTATTATGAGCTCTGAGCTTTACTTAAAACCTAGATAACTTCCAAATACATTAAAAAAAACTTATTTATTTCCGTAAATTGGCGAAATTGTGCGAGTATCATATATTCTGAACTGAAATGTGATGTTTAGCAAGTCAGTTAAATCGATGCTTTCCCTTACTCACCTAACTTGCTCGGGTAATTCTCTGGAGCCGCGGGTGTAATTCACAAGACCCAAAAAAATAGAATTCTTGACAATTATCCGAACAAAATTTTTGCATAAGGTGGCTTTTCTATTGAACAGCAAATTAATTTGCCTTTTGCAACCACTTATTTCAATAATAGGCAAATCGTTTACAAGGAATGACAGAAATTTACTCGTGTTCACATATACACCGCTTCTCACTCTCCTCGGGGACCCGAAGTCTCGTAGTTGCACATCACTAGCTTTTTATTGCGGTCTACCTAGTTACAGCAGCAGGTAGCAGTAGCGTTAACGACGCTGATGGCGACGCCACGCGCAATGCTACCGTACGGGATAGGTCTCTAGCACAGCCATAATAACTTATCGCTAGCGAAATTAGTTTTTACGCCTCTCTTGTTCTTGTCGCGGATTAAAGACAAAGAAAATGGCATCGACTCCGTGTTTGTACGTAGAGGCTTTGTTGTCTTTTAGAGGTTACTCAAGGAACAGCTGAATCCATCTACCGCCGATCGCCGTTTAGCCCACGCCCCCAAACAATATTGTGCAAGCTCTAAGCGACTAATAACACATATGAAATAGAAATAGTAATGGGTGAACGACAATGTCATATGTCCATTGTTTGAGACTCCTGAAAAGTTGCATGAACTTTGTACGTAATTGTGCAAGCAAAAGACAACCTCAAGATCTCAGGTTATAGACTGTACCTAGGCAAATCCTGTAAAGAATGGCTCATTCATAAGAATATTTTTTTATAAGTATTTTGCCGTAGGTCAGTTTGCCTACTCGTGGCGGAGTAGACTGCTTAAAAGTAAAGTGCTTTTTCGGATTACGTATAGAGCAATTAGACAACGAGCAACTAGAAAAGTTTTAATCCTTACAGGGCTATTTCTGTACCGTCAAATGATAAATATTGTTGTGTTTCAGTAGATTTTATCTTGTTAAGAGCAAATTTTGCTAACAAACAGCAAGCCTCAAATCTAGCTGTTTGCCCCGGTCGTGTGGAGCTTTTTTCAGAACTGCCGCAGCGGAATCTACTAAAGTTACATAATTATTCGTTACTACCGCCGACTCGATACTTGCTTTAATACAATCTTGACCCGTGTTCCAATAGACTGACAAAACTTGATTAATCTCAAGTTCAGAACTTAACCGTGTCTATTTTGAGTTAGCACGTTTGGTATGAGCGTATTTAAAGAGCGTAACCGCAGTTGTTTTGCGCTTTATATTAATTCTGGGAGATCCCGACATAGGTAGCCAGTTTTTGCCTGTTGAATCAGACAAGCATCACTTAATTACAACGCCTCTAATAGGCTGATCTCTCCGTCCTGTCTGGGTCGGTCTAGTAAAAGCATCGTACTTATGAATCATAAGTAGGGAAATTTTGAAACTTTCGGAGTGTGTGCTCTATTGCTTATTATAGGACTTATCCGCCCATCTCGCTATCTAGACGTAACTGAATGGCTCGCGATGATGACGTGGTATGACTACAAAGTCATTTAGAGGTATAGGCAAATAGATTTAATTAATTGGACGGATTGGATTAAACGAACTTCAGAGCCTCCAAATACATAAAAATAATATCAACTAGTAACTTTGGTTTCTTGCCCTCTCATATGATGATGCTCTTAGTTGGATTTAATAGCCCTACATTAGTTGGTAACATTATTATGGCATATTTAAAATGAAATAGTACTATAACCACGCCAAGGGATTGTTCGTTTCGCTCCAACGTCTTTTTAACATGTACGTGCATGAAATAATTTTCAAATTCAATTACCGTCGCTTTTACTTAAAAACTCTGATTTTTAGGAATTAGCCAAGTGACATGAGCCAGTCTCTAGCATCGTTTGAGTCAGCCTAATGCTATCGTAAATTCTAGTTATGCTGAGTTTGCTGCGGGTTGGAAATCATTAATTTTAAGCTTATAGAACGGATACAGATATGATTTAAGCAACATCTTACCTCTGGCAGGTGCGTTTTTCAGCGTAATTACCAAAATGAAGGTAAGGCTCCGACAGCCTTACGAATCTGTTCGTCAATAAATCCACAGTGTGAAGTCAGCTACGGATTGTATAACATACAATACATACAGTACATAAACAGCAGTCTATCGTATTTTACTAGAAAGAGCATCGACGAACAATGTACGATACTTTTTGTATTCAATAAAGCCTTCGATCTTTTCTCACATGCTCTTCATTGAAGTTAAGATATATGAGAGTCGCTTTGGAATGGTGGAATGCTACAAGAGGAACAAAGAGCGTATAGGTCGCTTGTGGTTTTTGCAAAGCAATACAGTCGTCTGGGATCATTAGCTAGACAAGTTGAAAGACATTAACTAGGTAAGGGCTAATTTCATAAATTTTAGATAAGCCTGCTTAACATTGCTATAGGTATCAAGTTGCCGTCGGCCAATTTGACCATTTTCAGAACATCAGGAATAGATACATAAGAAAAGTAGGCAACTTTAGCGTTCAATAAGATGCGAGCTGAAAAGGCCAAACAGGATACTTCGGTGTAAACCTACGCCCACCGGGTTACTCTGACATAATTATTTTCATTAATGCGCTTTGAAAAAGCGCACTATTGTACAGTGCTACTGTGGGGTTTCCGTTTCAGAACCAGCCTAAATACTTTAAAACCATCGTTAGAGATTACATCAGGGGATTAGTTCCCCAACACGAGTACCTTGTGTACTCCGAGTATCTGAACATAGTTTCATCGGTGCAGTGGCTTGGACAAATAAACCCTCGGTTAACAAGGACAAGAATTGCTGGTCGAAACTCTGTGAACTACACAACGTACGCGATAAAATAAAAGTAAAATAATTTGTTATCTGTACACTTCACAAGGTTCGTAGGTGCATAATTGTTGAACCATAATAGAAACTTTAATTTTTAGCGGGACCATCGATGCGAAATTCATCACTTCTTCTTGTTTATTTGAAAAGAGGAGGCGAAGGCAGGCTTCCTAGCAAAATTTCAATGCAATCAATCTTGTGGTGAGCGCAAAAAGATAAAGCTTTATCTTTTGCGTTTCGTAGAATTTGTTCGCATGCGTGGAGGTTTTGTCGTTCTTATTAGAATGTCAGACAACTGCTCTACCATTCTTTAACATCTGAGTGCGACTGACTAACGAGTAGCCCTAGTGAAGAAGCTGATGTTAGCTCTCGTTCTTCAAAATGGTGTCCTCATTTTTTTTTTTTCGTTTCATGGCCAGCGAATAGGCTTGAATAACAGTAGATATTGTTGCAGTTGTAGCCTCGTCCGCGCATTGACATTATGCGTACGCAATGTGTACACAGCTTGCATGTACACACAATAACTAGCAGTGGGAGTAGCCAATCTAATGTACAGAAGCCACAGCGATTCATATGAGTGGGCGTCGTACAAGAAGACGAGAAGGCATTTGCAGGAGGCAGCAGACTGATGAACGAACACCAGGAACAAACAACTTCAGAAGAGAAAAAAGTCAACGGGCGAGCCCGACTGAAGGCAATCGATCGGGCCGGATCGCTGTGGACTGAGGAAACTTTGTGCACTTCGGTTCAATGAACACTGCGAGCGAACGAAAGGCGACAGCAACCATCGCTCATAGACACAGCGGTAGCACGAGCGGAGACCCGCGCGTTTACGTGACCCAGTCCGTCAGTCAGTGTCTTTTGCAGCAACAAAGAACGTCATTTAGCTAACTCTGTGTGGGACTACAGACGACAGAACGGCGCCGGCAGAAAATTCATGACGAAAAAGATGGACAAAGGTACAGTTAAAGGTCCGTTTTACGACTCCGTCCATCCACTGTCATAGCCGCAAAGAGACGATAAAACTAGTAAATCGCAATACATATTACGGTATACATACGGTACATTATGTTTACAGAGTTCGTTTTACTACTTTCAGTTGTAAAATACACGAATGGTAATACAAGGCAGTTTGGCGCTAGTGGATTGAAAAAACCTTATGATACTTGGCTAACTTAATAGTAGAAAACTGGACATCCGGGAAAATCTTGTGAGGAGGTGGAGGCAGCTGTTGGAAGACCATTAGTGTCACTGCATGCAATCACTTTTATCACTATGGCTGTTGGCTTTGAAACGGTGGTGGTATTAAGCCCGGGCCACGTGGGGAATCTTTCTCATACTCTTTTGCACGCTTCTCTAGTGGAAGAACTTTAATAATAATGTGTGTGTGTCGACTCTCACTCATAGTATAACAGTCAGGATAGATAAAAGCTACAATGTCATATTAACACATCGCTTATATATATAAGTATAGTAAATAGTATAAATCAGATTTGAACCGGTATACTTTTGCGTTATATTAAAATATTCATCTTGTTACAATATGTAGTAATTTTTAAGCTGAATATTCAGTCACCTTCCAGTTAGGTTTATTCAGAGAAACCTGATTAATCATCTTCTATGTGTATAATTTCAGGCTGTTTTTTTTGCACTTAGAAAGCCAACGACTGCTTAAATAAGGACAGTTTCACTTGTTGAGACGTCGTCTACGTAGGGATAACAGTCCTTATCCTCTGTCGTCATTCTGTTTTGGATGAACTTATTGGTATTTTGAGTCCTAATTATCTCATTGCAGCTACCCACATACGTGTTGTTACGTTTTAACGATCCATAGGCGCGTCTTGTATTATCCTTGTAAACATAGGTATATTTGCCGTTGAAATACGTGCAATTGCTTTAAAACTGACAGTGACGTCATCGATACAATTTTTTTTAGTCAGTATGCATGTCATGGCGTGCCCGCTGTAACACCACGCATTGCATCAGCAAGATTAGTCGACATAGTATAGGATTTAAGATTCTGGTAAGTTCACCGTAATTTCTAGCCTGCTGGGGATAATGAACAGGTTCCGACTTCTATAGCTTTTCTACAGTCCAATAGTAAATAATGACTATGCAACGGTTACCCTAAATCGGGTCAACGACAATTTCTAATTTTGTTAATCATTGCCTCAGCAACGCACGACTACCTCGACCGCTTGTTACTATCAAAATCAATACAATGACGACCAATCCCACTCGATTCGAACGAACAATCAGTGAATATCATAGTGAGATGTAACGCGTGCCGACATCTACAGTGTGCTTGGTAACCGTCCTTCTCAACGGTAATTATTCCATCATCATCATCAACAACAACGTTAGCGGCACCAGCCCCGATAACAGCAGCAGCAATATGACTTGTCACGTCGAACTTCGTGTCGCATACTCGCTCCGCGGCCAAACGAATAGCCGGCTACCGCTGGGCAGTTACTACCATCGCGTCACCTACTGCTACCACTTCAAGATAGAAAACGAATGGTATTAGCGGTAGTAAACCAACACTGATCTGTCTGAAGCAGCACCTGTCGGCCTATGTACCTCCACAGGTTTATCGCAAGCGTCAGTAGCAAACGATCTGCGAAGCTCACACTATTTCCGTGGTGTATAATAAACATTCGGGCCAACTTGAAGGATTACGCTTATCTATAGCTCCGCTGAGTGACGCTGTCTTTAAGGACTTCCAAGCATTGACGAACTACATGTAGTTCGACTCATTGTAATGATACGCTGCCACACAAAAGGACCAGGCTAGGACACACAGATACGCAGCTTTTACCATAGCTTCTAAAGAACATAAGCACAATGCCAATTTCTTACCGGCCAGATAAAACCCGCCCTATACTAATATCGCCGAACCTGTTTCGGATATCGAAGAATTCAGGATGCTGAAATCGAGATATTCGTAAAAAATATCGAAATTGGTAATAAAGAATATCCAGAACCTTCTATCATATATAATATGCGCTGGAAGTCTAACATACTTTGATCTAATCATATTACTATACTCTATACCTTTAAAAAACGCACCGAGAAGTTGGTTTTGTCTTTCAGTGTTTTCCTTCTAAAATTTCGTAATTATTCAATATTTGTTTTGATCTTACGTAAGCTTAGACGTACACAGTACAGGCTTTTTATACAAGTTGGGACAAGCAAATGAAATGAGGAACATAGCAAGTATTACAAAATGACGCAGACGCGGGGTTATTGGACTACGAGGAATTTCCGCGGCAATATCGAGCATGAGGTTTTTTGAGAATAGAACATTTAAAAGGTCTAGTCGTAAGAATGGTAATTGGTAAGGGCTCTTGGCTGTTCAGCGGCAAAGAGCAGCTGATTGGAAATCATCAATCTGTGAGAAGTCAGGAGAGTGGACTATAAGGATATATAACGTCAGAAGCGTCGAAGACTCTTGTCGACAGCCCACGGACTAACAGAGTTATAATAGATCCGCAGAGGGTGCCTATACCGTAGCTACTGCTATACAACGTTTGTATTTAGAGTGTTCCACCTCTCTACTATTTTACCTAAAACCCGCCAAATTGCGAACTAGGCTGAAAATAACAGAACACAGTACGGCTAAACGCGCGTGCGGTATTACGACTTCAAAGTTGCTAACTGACTTCGGTGCTATCCTTCCCATTTTTCATGGTTATTCTACAGAGTGTTAGATACTATAAAGGAAACAAAACATATCGCAACATCAAGCGATTTTCAGCAGGAACTTATACAATTACAGGTGAAATGGGAAACAGGAAATTAATAATTCCCTTTTTTTTTTGACGACAGCGGCTGTTTTCTTGGTCAGACGTCATCCGACTCGTAGATCATCTTTGACACTGTTGCTGAATTTCGTAAAAGTAAAGTTCACTTCGAAAAAATACACTCAGATTTCATCCTGACGTAATCAGGTAAACGTACGTCTACATAACCGCGTTCATAGAGCTGCATACCGAGAGATCATATCAGGCAATGAATTGTGATTCTATCGACAGGCACCAGGAAAACTGTGATTGACCTTATTATCCGGTGCAATCCAATCCAAATGCGTTCCAATTTACAAATAGCAACTAAAAAGAAGCCAGTTCACGCCCGGTTGGTTTAGAATCCGGAAAATTGCTGACGATTGAAAGGTCTTGTTGTTCAAAATCCGCGATTTGTTTTAGGCTTCATCAGTGAGATGCGGTTATAATAACGCGGCACCAATCGTATATATGAATGACCGGCTTGAAAAACGTACAGTCCGTCGTTTCGTATGTGCACTGCGCAATTGGAAACGGGGTAAGTTTGCTTGCGTTACACCCCACTTCCTACTTCTCCTCCCTGGATAGCTATTAATTTTACTATTAGATAGAAGTCCGCTCCTCTAGAACAGCTGCGCTAAAGTCTCGAATCTTATGCATCTACCTGTGCATATTAGGTAGTTTTACCTAGTAATAAAAAAATTTTTTAGAAAATGCGGAAGATTCAATTAGATTTTAAATGACAACCTCAGACTGTGGTGGTTATTTTGATCTGGTCCGATAGCAGCGAAGCCTAATATAAATGATTACCATCTATCTAATTCAATCTTATATAAACATGAGGTTAAACAACGATAGTTGTTCTGGTAAGACTTTCTAAACCCGCTGTAATTAAATTATACTTAAGAGAGGTGTTTTTTTTTTTGTTGAGCTGTACAAGAAGTGGTCGTATTGTACGATCGTGTTGTTGGTAACTAGTACCGTACGCTTTATCACCAAACGAGCGATTGTTACTTACAAAGACCTTGGTTTCTATATATGGGTCACCTGACCCATTTTTTCTAACGGGAAATTGCGCTTAGTTAACTTCTTGTTGTGTTATGGGGAATAGGATAATTGTTTCTACACAAGTTGTTCCACGATTGTAGTCCGATTCTAAAGTTGGGCGCTTTTCGACAGAAAATGACGCGTTGCTTCGAAGCCGTTGATGGTTCAACGGCTCCAATCATATCTCAGCGTTTGCGTTTTATCGAGTTCATTTGATCTGGGATCCCGTTGGCTTTGAAAGAGATCTCAACTTGATTTATATTAAACACACTTACTTATCTAGCATACTTAATCGATCTCTGAAAAAATTATTGTTTATATATGTAGCGTAGAATTTCGATAGCGTAAAATTCGATAACGACGTTATAACGTTATAAGACATGACCTCCGAGAAAAATTAAATTGATTACGACTGAAATGCGCCAAACTCGCATTCATTCAGATCTTATCGTTCTCTTCTTTTAGCCCGATATAAATCCAAAAGCATATTTTATCCCGTGCAGAAATAGTTGATACAGAGACATTTTTTTCGTATCTGATGATATGCATTCATCTACGTAATTTTTGCCGCAATTGTTTATTTGACGTAGGGAGGAAATTTAGTACGCGTTTGTTGTACTTGGGCCAATTGCAATGGAGCCTGAGCTTAGAGGTGCAAAATAAATACATAAAGGAAGTACACGATACGCGCCGTTAAGTCAACAGGTACATTTTATGTGCATCAACTAAACATTGTTGATTAGCAACAAAAAATGTTCAACAAATAAAATCGCTTTCCCGGCATAAGTATTCATGTTATAGATTTTTACCAGTCATCTTTTTCAGTGAACAAATGTATAGCTAAAACTGAATTTGTCCAGTAATTGGAGTAGATATTCTACGGAAGCCTCACGTAATTTTAACTTAATTAGTAATAATGCTCAATAATAAATGGTCGCTTTAGTCTATGGTAAATTAAGATCAGGCATCAAGACAAATAATGCATAGATTTGTCTAACAGGAAATACGTATCAGACTGGCCGGAAATACGTATTAAACAGGTCATCAAACAGTTATTTGTTTCGGGGCACGAGGGCAGTAGAAAAAAATTATGCCTAACGCAATGGAGTACATATAAAGCATTCATCTAGTGAGTCGCTATGATATCACGCATACATTGGGTACCATGAATTGATTTGACTGGCTGACTGGACGTGTAAGTGAGCTGCTCGTTTTTCGCGATTGTGTCTGCGATTGTACTGTTTCACCGATTCGCGGCTGAGCGTCATGTTGATCCTGCTAGTTTCTGTCTATATATTTACCGTCATCTCAGGTTGTTATTCTGCAGCTAAAGCTGCTGCCTCTCACGTAGCAATTATCGCAAAAGTGCGCAAGAAAGTCCCTGGCTGTCACCAGTCCGATTCATTAATGTAGAACCATTTTCAACGGGCAGATCAGCGACACGACCATCATCGAAAGACGTACCAAATGGTACCACGGATGTGGTGGCGGCTACGACGGCGGCAAGACGATCTTTATAAGGCAATGTGTACCGCAATTGGTACGATCCCTGTGTACAGCTTAAATGTACAAGGAGCTCCTGATACATCTAGTAAACTAAATACTGTACGTTGGTACCCGCGGCCAGTTCGGCCTTCGGTGGATCGAACCAATATGTTGATCGCGTTACGGTAGAGTCTAAAGAAGCAAACGCCGAAGTAGGCCAAAACTAGCAACGATCAAGCGTTCTCAATAAAGAGAATAAGGTCAATAATAATTCAATAGACAAGCTACAAGAAAGCACCGTGTCGTATAAGCCATGATGTTAACTGTATCGCAATTAATACTCACGCTGAGAGATTAGATTAAGAGCAAAAAGAGATAGGCAATGCAAACTGCTGGACCAACTCTGATACGCATGCATTGACTTTTGTTTCTGTAGATTCATTTAGAACAAACGTCGGTCTAATCTAAACTGCTAATTCTGTTCGTCATCCCTTGGACGGTGCAAAAATTACTCGTGTCAAACAGAGGAAGAATATACTCCACACATCCCTGGCTAAACTGAAGAATACTGATGGCGCAAAACCGCGTATACTTCAGTACAACATACTTCGCACCTCGGAAATAAGATGAAAGAAAAAAAAGATGGCGTAAAGTTTGAACTTTTTCATAGCTGACAGACAAATAAAGATCTTCATTGATTAAATCGCAGTACGAGAGTAAAGATCGTAAGCGTGCTGACTTTATAAAAACGCTCCAGGGGCATTGTCTGCATGGTCGAAAAAAGATTGTACGTGGTAATTTACTAGATTAAGTGTCGTAAACTATGCTACTATGAAATTTTTTCGAGTGGTCAGCTAGAAAGTGTTTATGCACCGCTGTAAGCTTCGCAGTTTGCTGAACGGCTTCTATATATTCCACTAACAATGCAGTCGGTCAAGAAATATAGAGTTTGTTTCATTTTACCAAGAAGAAATCGCATATCGTAAAAGCATGGAAAGGCAGTTCGCGGGAAAGATATAACTTCAACATAAAGCTTCACAATGTAGATTACCATATACAAACATAGACATTAATTAGGTGGCTCCAGACACACGACCAATAACGCGACGATGTCTGTTCTTTACGAAAGTGATTGCTCGATGGATGGAAGAGCACCCCAATCCAACGATTCGAATATCTAAACTGTACAAAAGTAGTTTCAGGTACTGCAATAAGATGATCCCAATATATACAACGATACAGGTGCATTTTTATTTTGTGGAAGAACTCTGTATAATAGGATAAGCAGGGTAGGCATGTTTAACATTACCGGCACTAACGTCAACAGACGTATAAAAAAATCCAAATGTGGCTGGCCACAGTTACTGTGGGTCTCGGAAAATTTCCTTCTGATTTAAAACGATTTCAGCAGTCAATAAGCATCAGTGGAACTCTTTTTCTAAGGGTATCTAGTAATAAATCAAGTTGTACTGAGAGAAACATCATACTAGAATATGAACATGTGTGTCTCCAGCATAAAAGTACAACTTACTACCTTACACACGTTATCAGTTCGGCCTTTCGTATGTAATTATAAATAAATAGAATTCACAGATTATTGAGTGGACTGTTCAGGATGATTACCGTAGATGATAACTGCTAATAGTTGACATCTCTTACTGGCTTTGTCTGCTGTCTATGTTTGCCTGCCATTATAGTGTATTCTAATTCATTGTGCATGAATCGGAGACTTACTTCAATTCTCTCAAAGTGCATATCGCGAGGTATCGTCACATCTGAGACATCTCCAGCAGTGTGTAGTAATTAATCTCGAAGTAACTTACCAATCGGGAGCGGAGATTTTAGCCATTTACTTGAGCGTGCCATATCCTAGATATTTTTGGGCCAACCAGATCAAATTCAATCTAACGTTGTCAAAATGAGGGTGTTAGATTCAAAAGGATTTTTCTGGTCAAACATAAACACTGTCAATCGCTTCTACTGACACCATCTCCTGCTACCATGTAACGATGTAAGTTAACCATATAATAGCTGTTTCGTGTACTCCACAGAACTCAGATAAAAATCAAGAAGCGAATGAGAACCTGTTCTGCAAATCGTCTTCGTATTAGTCGAAGCTGATCTTGTGACAACAGCGACCCGACGAGGGTCGACGCGCCGATGGCCTGTGAGAGACCACTTCTTGACGAGCAGCGAAATGACATGACAGAGTAGGAACATTATATTAGCATCTCACTTAACGCTACTCAGATTCGCACTTTTTATCTAAAACAATCACTACAGTAGGCTTTCAGGGCTCGTCAATATAAACGACGTCGATCGACCGCACTAGCTGCATAAGTACCTCATCGAGTAACTTCTGCAGCAGTTCTATAACTTCGTCCCCCTCTGAAACATCTCCAACAAACCCAAATAACGTTTTGGAGAACTTACATAGCGATATTTTGACGTTTCGAAGACTGTAACGTACTCTTGATTCAGCTGCGTAAAGCACACGGATTGGCTCCTATCAACTCTTCTTCGTTTAAATAGCAATAAATTGCTCGGAACTATTACAGAGTGTATCGATGCTTCGTTCTGGTGGGTGTCCGTCTACTCCCACTTCGCTCCGCCAAATGGGTATCGTTGAGCGCTTGAGTCGGATTACGCTCACTCTTCAACGGTTTCCCCTTACCCGCGACGCAACAGATAGACAGGCACACGCCTGTAACATAGCGCGTCGTACCTTTCTGCGATGGCGTTATAACGATTCTGTGGAGAGTGAGGATCCGCACCAACTGATCGTGAATGCCTTGAAATATCCTTCCGTCGGTTACTGTCTGAACTATAGGTAGGACGAGCGCTCGCTGCTGCGATGATCGGAGAGAACGAAGCGCCATCTCTCGGTACTAGAGGGAAACCAAGTCATAAATTGAGAATCAAATTAGGCCACTCCAAGGCTTGAGCTCTACATGCAGGCAACTAAGCGAACCCTAACCTCTACTCGCTTTGAAGAGTTCTATTTAATTGCAAATAGAGTTCTATATATAGATGGCATGTTATACATAGCATGCTTACACGCGTTGAAATACTTGACATCTCTTCTTGTGGAAACTGACCATTATAGATACTACATAACGTAAGACCGCCATAATGTTAACTCATATTAGCTGTTTCTTACAACTCAGAATGTTTTTGAAGCTGTTGTTTCTGCTTTCTCTAATCTCTGCAAATACACCTTATCGGTCATTGGAATACTTGCTTAATAAGATTCGATATATTAGAATTTAGTGCCTGTTGAACAGTTTCCTTTAACAACAATAATTACACTGAATAGAATTATCTGTGTTGGTTGCACTGATAGACATGTGCAATCCATGAGTCTATTTCAACCTGTTCTCCAACTATATATATCATAAAGGCCTTTTAGATGTGACTGGGCGGGCAAATGTAGGGTGTGGTAATGCAAGGAAAGCTGAGTGTACTAATCATTTCCAATCAATTTTCAGGTTGTAATAATAATTATAATAATTTTCAGATAATTTCAGAAAATTATCAGGTTGTCCATCATTGTCCTACATATGGTAATTTTTTTAAATAATTCAAATTGTTAGCCCTGTAATTGATACGAGCTTTCAAACGTGCAGCAGAACATTTTGCACGGTCGCAACGAAAACATTAGTAAACATCCGATGTTGATCTACTGACTCGCTCGTTCTCAAAAAATACAGCTTACGGATTGAGGACTATTGCTACTCCGATAGCCGCGCCCTTCGGATGATAGGTCGTCGAAAGTGCTAGAAGTTTATGTAGAGAGTCTCACCGTCAGGACTGAATCTGTTCTCAAATCAAGAAAGTAAGTTTTTCATACGTTAGTAAGCCGCGGATATGTTGAATAGGTAAAAAGTTTGTATTTGAATTCGCACAGCGATCCAAAAACGTAGCATATGCGAACTCATATCGTTTTCTAATTTCCACAGAGCAAAATTGCCATTCTATATTTGAATCATCCATCATAGGTAAACAATGCTAAGCTACATCCAGTAACAGACTGTTCATTCTCCGTCACATTTTAGAGAAATCCCTAGTCTTCGTGTTCCTTTTATACCATGGTCTACTCTGTAGCCTTCTGTCCGACTTTGGCCACTGCCGTATTGTTCACCGCACACGGTAACAGGCTTTGTACCCGCTGCAGACACTGCCGAGCTGAAAAATGGTCAACGATTAATTGTTGTTCTTTCCCTGTTTTTAGGCTGAAGTTGTTAAATAAATAAGTAGTGCCATTTTGCATATGGTATTCTTTTGTTCTCTATCTAAACATAGTTAATTTCACGAAAAAAAAAAAAAAGAACCTTTTCATTCACGTAAATTGTGTAGTATATTACAACACAGGGAACACAATACAGATTAAATCGAATATAGATAGGACAAAAAATCATATTACAGGGTGTCATTAATCAAAAATCTCCTTATAGTTACATGTGAAAAATAGTTTCCTACCGGGTTACCCGTTCGTTTTATTACTGCAATATCAGCTTTTAGATATAATATTCGAATGTAGTTTTAGTCTCTTTCTCTACTGAATTTCCCGACCCTAAAAGCACTCGTGTTCATTAGTGAATATATAGATTGGGTAGTTTGTTGGTGCCTCGTAGGTTTGAACAATAAGTTAATGTAATGTATAATACACCGGGAAAATTATTTCATCTCTAAATAAAAGTTGAAAAGAAAATAAAAAGAGAAAGCACTTGCGTCTAGCTTGCTTATTGTGCTTTTCGTTTACATATACGTGTGGTAGAACTTTCTGGTGCAACGAGTGACCTGACTACCAAACCAATTGTGTCGTATAGTTGGAATTGATTATTGGTTAATCTTGCAGTATGAGCAGAAACCAAGCTCTTCAAATAGATCTACACGATCCCGAATTCGGCTTACGACTATTGCTAGTTACAGTGATGCTTGCCGTTAAAGGTTAGGGGTTCGCATTTAGAATGAGCGATCGATCTATCAGCTTTGCATCCTCCTTCCACTAAACTATCCGTCCAGCTTTCTTCCTTCCTTCAAGGCTTATTTGCTATAAACAGAGTTGTCGTTCACCGTCACGAACCTAGAATGCATTAGTTCTCCCTAATAAAAATAGAATAGGATAATCGTGACCAGTACTATGATTTTCAGTCTGCCTCGCTTACCCGCGATTTCCTTCATCCTAATTTGTTGTTGGAATACACCGTGTATACGTAGACTCGTAAGCGCTCATGAGCTACGAGTCCTTCTAATATGACGATACGATCAGTAGAAGCGATTATTAAAGATGCAAATTTAACCAATGAAATTGATAATTTTCACTTAAAAAAAAAATTAAATTAGACGCAATTATGTTCTCCGTCCGACAGAGCGCCCATTATTATGTTGGAGTTCGGCACAAATCCGCTTATTACTGACCGTGCCGTCTTATGACTAATACTACATAATAAACGTAAATACAATGTTTTTCTACACAAGCAACAGTAGTCGCGTTTTTCATGGACAAGTTACGACAATTCGTAAATTGGTATAGGCGCATATACAGTGATAGTAGGGCAAGCACTTGGGCACTTTATAGCTAATTGTGCAGACTAATAATTTAGAATGTTTACTAATGCTATATGTATATAGCTTCTTAAATGGGCTACCTTCCTGCTTCGCAGCATGGCTGGCTAAACGCTTAGTGAACCGGTTGGTTAACAATGAACAGACTTCCTGAAACAGTTTGGGTGCACTCTTTCTTACCTATAACCGACAGACGACAGTCTGCTGAGCGAGCACTTTGATCCGACAGGGTATGAAAAATAAGCAAAAATAACCTAGAAGCCCATAGACAGGCTTTTGGGCAGGAACAAAGCCGTTTGCTCGGCAAAATTAGAAGGGCACAGTTCTTCTCTTCGCGCAACTTATCTATCTGAGAAGAATGAAGACAAACTGCTTTGCACCCGACACCTGGTGATTATCCATTAATCTTGTGACCCATTTATTTCATCTGTTCTTCACCACTACGCGTATAAAGGAAGCAGCTAGAATTTCGACCATGATACCCGTCAAGCACGATATCCACACTGACTGTATTTAAATTATAACAAGCAATATTGAATATATTCGAAACAAACTGCAAACAACAAAAAGTAAGTGATGATTACCAGGCGTCTGAAAGATTAACGACTTGGTAAATAAGCTTAGGCATGATCAGTCAAAACTGGCAAACTTAACCTTCTTAACCAAACTTAACCCTAAGAAATCATGGCTACGGAAAAGAGATATGTGTCTGATGATATTTCTGACCTGCCATAGGAAAACGTATGTCTCAATAAATAGACAGATCAGCTGTTATATAAATCCATAATACAATGCATGAAGCTATGCATATTTGTTTCATTCTGGTGGCAGAACTGGTAACTTTACCAGTTTCTTGCCTATAACAGCACACGGAAGAAAAACATAACATACGTACCATTACAATCTGGAATATTTGCTATAGCGTACTCAATGAGACACTCGTCTACTGCCTACTCTATTTTTTTTTGTACACAACAACCGTACTATTACTTCGCATAAATAAAATACTACGGTAAATAGATTACTACCACAATTTCACTTTTGTGCTAGAATTTGTATAGTTTATGGCTATAATGATCGGTACGAGATTTATAGTGAACTTTTCAGAGAGCCACTCGTCGCATCTTCTCAGATAAATCTAAGCTATCAAGGTCTACTTAAGTTCATAGGCTTTATGTTAACAAATCAAATTATTACTACGTGGTATTTTTGAAAAAACATAGTTAACTCGAAAAGGAGTCTCAGTTTCAGGATTAACTGCTGAAGAGCACCTTGTTATTACATGTATAATCTGCTCTTTGAAAATCGCGGTGATAATAACAAGCACACCAACAGCCTTTAGCACGTTCCTCTTAACCATTCGAGTATTATTTGGATAAAAATTTCAAGCGGATGTATCTGTTAAAACCACCCCTGGAAATTATTGAAGGCAGCTTGCAGATGCCGGTGGCCCCCATCATTCTGTGTGTGCACTCAAATCTTTCCTTAATCATCGCGTATATACGGGAAAACTCGTTGAGGAACGCGCTACATATTTCAGTCGGTCAATGAGTAGCATGAAGTGAAAGACGTGTCAAGGAAATCGCTTCGCAGATATCCTTTTGTAGGATGTTCTAAGCCGAACCGTCGTAGGTGGACTCTTCAAAAAAAAAAGATATCTAAGGGAAAACTCCGCAATACCTCTAGGTCCGTCCTTGTTTTGTTGGGATTTTTAACTGCGGGCGTGTTCAAAGAATAAACAATAATACTACTTATCGACTGACTCGGACGTAATGTCAGTGTAAAAAGTTTAGAAACATGTCTCTGCAGCCGTCCTATTTTCTCGTTATTGCTAAACACTCGGCCGCTTGTTGAGCCCTTGGAAACGAAGAAGATTTTCAACTTTTTCGCAATCCCTTCTGATTTCGAGCACGTTACATGACAATTGTCCAATTAAATATAGAATGCAGGAAACAATGCATAGTTTTATATTATTATTATTATTTTAATAATATTTAATAATTAACGCGCACTAAGGCAAATATAATAACTCTATTCCAACATTATCGTTCATTACTACAATGAATCTATATGGTCGTTTGTATAATTAGAAATTGCGCAATCCCAACTTTGTTCCAGGGTTGTCATAGCTTTATATATTTGCATAGGAAGCACAAAACATTGCAGGATTACAAAATGTCGTTTTTTTCTACCTTTATCGAACTGACTGTTTTAAAGGATTATCACGGAAGTTGCAAAATTATCTCCAAAAAAAAATCATGCTAAATCTTGTTGAGAGAATCATTAAATTATAATAGTGATACAGGCAATTGCTTGAGTAGTACAGAGAAGCTTGGTGCCTGTAAGGCTTACGTAGAAGACTTTCTGTCGATTTAAAATATTTTTGAAAATTATTATTATTTGTACGTTAACTCACTCATGTATATAAAATGTAAAAGTTTTCTTAATTGACTGATTATTTAATTAATTAATTATTATTAACTGAATAATTCCCTTCCAACATAATGGTTTGAAACTAATATTATTTTAATTTTAGGGACTGAGCATACCCAATTAACTGGTTGTTGAAAAAAGATCACAAAAAATGAATGTATCTTATATTGCCTTCTATTGAAACCGAAAACCTTATTTTTTTTTCCTCTAATTGTTTGTTACAGCCTTTAAAGGTTTAGATAATGCAGTAGGAAACAAACATGGTCTGCGATCGCTTCGCCATTCCGCCGGTTCGAACCTCTTGTAACAGACGACTTAAAAAAGGTCGGGAGACCGATGATGCGAACTTAGCTACTGAATAATGACCACATGATGTCTCTTTTCTTCGTAGATATTAAAAACGTTCTCCATCATGTTGCTTCCTTCGCCCAGTGCTTATTAGCAGATATATCATTAGATTAGAATTCGGTCAAAAGAACACTGGCTTTTAAATGAAACTGTTCCATTTCTTCATAAAATTGTTGCACTCACCGCCTTTATTACAAATATGCCTATCCCGATCACGGTTACCGATTTTTTAGTACATGTTCGAGCAGTTGAGGGGCGAGCATTGATCGGTTTGAACACTTGAATGATTTGTCATCATAAGCCTAACGATGTAATAAAGAAGCTGGACATTCTTCCCGAAATTTAAGTGAAAAGTAGTTAGATAAGTATAAAGAAACGGCCTTTTAATAGGGCTTCGTTTTCACCTTTAGAGCTTTCATGGACGCCTTATATCACTTATTAACTCATAAGAATGTGCCTTCTGCTTAGCGGATAAAAGCTGCGTCAAAAAATAGTACCACCCAAGGAGTGATTCTATAAGATAAGTCATCCTTAGCACTCCTGAAGACTGATGTTGGCAGTATAACCTGACATTATGCCTTCGCTCTGCCTTTAACTCTACCAGTCGATGCTGGTCTGTGGCCTCATTGATTATGAGCGTTTCACCACATCTATTGATACATGCCTTAACGACTATCTTTGTAAGAAGGTGACTAGCTATCGAATTTCATAGGCAAAGGCAAAAGTCCTAGATCATGTAGCGCCTATTCTTCTTACTCTTAAGAATCTGCTGACTTCGGGGCTTCACTCTCTACAATCGATACGCTTATAATTATTCGGGCAAAGTTCTAAATTGTTTTGTATATATATCACGTAAATCCGAAACAAATTTCTGCCTTCATCGACGTAGGCATCAATATCTGTAAAATATCACCAGTTCTTATGTTCTTATGGCTATTACGGGCAACATAAGGCAAAAATTTTCAATAGCTACGTCATATATATTCTTCGGTACGCATGAACCAACTATGCAGAATGCCGCTCCAATCTCCATAGACTTGGAAGCTGTTTACGTAGTTCACGAAAGAGGACAGAAGCAATTTAGGAAGTACTAGGCTCGCAAAGATTTGGTATATGATACAACTGGCGTAAGATCCTTCTATTTTTTTTTCGAACTGAGCCTAAACCTTGAGCAGTTCTGAGATTCGTAAGTAGGCTATGTTTAGGAACTTTCTATTCCTTAGAGCTATCCTGCTACCCTATCATAACCGAGGATCGCGGCCACGTGGCTTTTAATAGGAATTTTCTATTGTAATGGTGTCAAGCCATTTCCTCTAGGGGTTCATAAGAGCAGACGATCATTGAGGGGCCGGATACATTTAGACCCCCGAAAGATATCGCATTCATCACAAAAAGCAGTGGCAGCAGCATCGTAGTGGTTCGTCTCCGAGGAACAATCTTGCTACTGCCGTAGCTTGTTCTGTCCTACGCGCGCATAGAAGGAACGCCTAAATAAGTACTAGCCGTCTTCGTCGTCGTACCTGTATATAGTTTAGTTGTTCAAAACACACTAGTCACCGAACGCGTTAGAGTAGACAAAGAAGGCTCAGAAAGATGACGTGGAGTTTTATTTTTAACCAGGTCTTTCTGGACAATCCGACCCAGTATCAAACACAATAACAGGAACTGTTATCTTTTCCAAGTGCTCCGACCGCTAGTGACTTTTCTTTTGGATGATATGCTCTGAATAGCGCCCTTTCCCCAACGGCCACTCAGATGTTCCGCAGGACGATCTTAACATTCGTAGCATAGGTCTTCGCCTATTAGCGTTTCTTGGCAAAGTCAAATCTCTACAAAGCAGCGGTCTAGTTTTCTACATGTATTTAGTATTTATGTAAGACTCTTGTAGCGGTAAGCGGCCAGCAATAAATTGGCCGCGTTTGCAAAGTCCGACGCTGAGATGCTAAATAGAGAATGGTAGACCTGCTCCGTTCCCAACTCTACTACTTGAGGCGCTAAAGAACGGCGATCAATACAGTGCAATAGGATGTTACTGATCTTGATTTTAGTCAACGTCTTCTCGAAGGTATGTCAAGCCGCTTTGAATAAAATGATTTGGACTAGCGCCTAATCGACACTGCCGATGGAAAGACGCCAACGACGGTTCATTTGTAAGCATTGTCCTATTCGTTGAAGGGCATCGAATCTACTAGCAAGAACTCACGTACCTAATTTTTGCAGCTAGCGCCAGGCGATTCGGTGGAGATGTGGAAATCTTTACTAGGCCAGCCTTGGCGGCCATGCAAAAGAGGCCACAAGCTACGCAGAGTACATGAAAACGCACGTATGTGTAACCTATACGTTTACAGAGGTAAGATTTGAAACCTTAATGCAACTATTAACGTACTAATATAGATATGGAATACAATTTTGTTCCCCTATATTTATCGTTTATTAAATTCGACCGTGGTATTTTACAGATTAAGACACTTATATAATGACTGTGGACATTTGCATTCGTTTTCAGGGACTGTTTTCGACTTGTATCACTTTCAGCCCAGTGTCAATCAAAAAGCATCCCGTTTGTATACGTACTCATAAGAATTATTATGGAGAACAGGCGCGCTAATATTCAAACTCTCTACATGTTAATGCGCGACAAGGTTACATTAAAAATATACAACGTCCTTGTATGTGAATAGACGTTGGGACTAATACTACTGAAAGTCTTGTGAAACATGAAATCTGTTCGTCATACAGACTCAAAGTCATCCATTAGTTTTCTCAGAACTTTGTTATTAGGAAAGGTGACTAGTTAAGCGGCCCCCAGACCAATAATCGCTAATGTCTAACATCTAACGAATTTGCTAATATCTAATATAGATGCATATGATAAAAAGAAATAGAACGAGAACAAATTTGCGGTCTGACGAGAAACGAGAAAGAAGGAAACAGGGGCAATTCACTTGAAATCGGCCTTGAAAAAGCATGAGAAAGACCTAGTCAGGTCCTCTCGCTGTAAATTTTACAAAGCGCTTCTTCGGATATCTCAAGTTGAGCTGTCAGCTCTGTTACGGCGCGTTGTTTAAGTTCGTGATCGCACTGTACGTAAAACCCCAAGTGGCCATGTCTGTTCAATGAAATTGATCAAAAGCGTCCTAAGATGCGGGATTGATCACATTGGCCGTCCTGGAATGGGACAATTAACTCGAACTTAACAACACCATGTTACAGGCTGTGCCACCTATAGCAGCAACGAACTAATTTTCAGCTTATTTATACCACGTCAGTGTATTAAGACGGATCACCTCGGCCGACTTAGAGGGCACTTTGAACATGGATCATAGATATCCAGAGTGTGCACTCGATTAAACACTCGGAAATATTGAAATTGTTACCTTATGAAACATCCTGCTAGTTGTGAGATTCCGATAGCCGAAAATAATTTTCCTAGCGTTTATAATTTTAATATAAATATTAGTTATGGCCTACTTTCAGAAATAATAATAGTAGATTCGGACAAATGTGCCTATATTCATTGCAATACATTATTTAGTTCTACTTTTAGCCTTCGCACAAAAATTAGCCTTTACGACAAAGCTCTCACGGGCCTGTTCAGCATTATTTTACCCCCTTGTGTATATATCACCCTTTTGTAATGGTTAAAAAAAAGGCTGATCAGATGTAATCAGAACCACACAAGACAGGTTACCTGTGTCTACTGTTAGCTTTGCGCTTCGTAGCGTCAGCGTCTCTCGATTGGGTTTCAGATCGAAAAAGCTGAATATCGTCCTTCTCACCCATAAAGGGCCTGGCAACGCTCGCAGAGGCTAGAATCGGACGGCGATAACGAGCGCGTGTACCCGCATCAGCGGCAGCAAGCTTACGGCCAATGGCGAACAGCGCACATTGGTTAACGGGCTGTGGTCGCGCAGATGGTCAGTTTTACTACCCTTAAAGCAGTTGTTTTTCATCTGTAATCGGTACGTGAAGGGTTTCATCAAGACCGCCGATCTAAATAATTTCAGGTTTGTATTCTCTGTAGGAGTAGAATTTTGAAACGACGCGTGGTAATAGCAGAATAAATCAGTTTGAGAGTACTAAACCTTAAATGTGGTAATTCAGGCTCTGAAAGTTGGTTTAATATTGGTAGACTTCGGCCTGTGCATACTACGGTGATTGTATGTGGTGACGCTTTTGGATAATAGTTGGTAGAATGGTGATAATGCGATCGAGGAAAATATCAGAGTAAAAGTTGTGCCATTTACGAACCCTAGACTAAAGGGTGTATAGAGAAACCGATGTGAAGGGTTGTTCTGTATATGTTTGGTCTACTAGTGTTGCTTTTGTAGAGATCGTGTTTGTTTGTAATAAAAAATAAAGGGTGGCATTTATCTGACAGGATACCCGTATTATTGGCCAGTTTTTCGTAGGCAGCTTGCTGCAAGTAATTTCCCAAAATGAGTAACTGGCATCGCCCGTTGACCCGTATCTACAATGATAATCACAAATTCGGAACGTCACTTTATTCGGGAGCTCTCGACGATATTGATAAGCGGTATAAATCTCCGATCCGAAACACATCGCTCCGTGACAGGTCCGATCTGCCATCACCAATAACCTGCTCTGCAGGACTTGCTAGTAAGTACATAAACAAACATACAATATTTTATTTTACGTATGTATAGAAATTATCAGGTAGGCGTATTGGCGTCTGTACTGGTTTTTTTTTCGAAGCACAAATAAATAATGATAGATGAAACATCTACACTTTTCAACTGTAAACGTGGCATTTAGAAGCAGTTCGAAAAGCTTTTTCGTCTAATAATGGGTTTCAAACTTTCTCTGAATAGTCATAGTAGAATGATTAAGGCACAATTCATCGTTTATCTTATTATACAATGTATTAGACTTTAACTCTCAGTTTAATATGGCTCTATAAGTAATATATAACAATATGATTGAAACTAATTAACATGTCTATATATATATATATATATATATATATATATATATATATATATAGAGTGAATTAGTGGTAAAAACGACAAGTTGTTACAAAAGACGCCAAGGCGGTAGTTGGTGTAGTGTCAGCAGGAGAAAACTTCGATTCGAACGGACGGAAAAACTACGGTCGCAGTTGGTACATTGCGAGACAGTGTTACAACGCGGACAAATAAACATTCAATTCTGGGTTTTTCCGTCGCTAATCTCAAACAAGGACGCTATGTAGGGCGAATAAATGACTGCTACCTTTAATTATGTAACTATGAGGCACAGACCAGGGAACGCGAGTAATGAGCCTGAATGCAAATTGGTGCGGCGTCTCCAACATCATCCCCAGTTTATTGTATGCTCGGTAGGCAAAAATAGAAAATCTTATTACTTGATACTCTCATGATGCCAGTGGCATTACATAGCTACTGGAGTGCCTGCTCGAATCAAAAAGCTTCGAGACATCGAGGCCTTCGTCTGCTATACCTGCCAGCCACGAGCTGTATCGTCCTGCAGGTTGTCGCTAGAACAGGTAGAAATTACTTGTCGGTCGCTCGCTCGCTGCGAGTCGGACCGGTAGCACTCCAGTGTCTTGTTTCCTGTTTGAAGACATGGCATCTAATCGAAATGGAGAGAAGTTTAAAAGAGCAGACTGTCATCTGTTTTATGGCTTGCTTCTATCGGCTTTCGGAACGTGTTCGATCCCCTTGCCGAACAGTTCTGGACTTTAGAGCGATTTACTTTATGTGGCATTGCTACAAAAAAAGTTCGCCGCGTTTATTTGTCGGTTTTCAACACAATTCGTTGACGGATAGCGCAGTAGCCTAGGTGGTTAGTTTAGGCCATGCAAGTCGCTGCCTTTAGACAATACTCCCTGGAAGTATGGCATGATACTTGCCTTTGTCATATGAATAGTTAGAAGACTTAACCTATCTAACTAACAGACAGTTTAAAGATGAGATCTGTAGTTCGGTAGCCATTGAAGTTAAATGATAAAAGATAATACAACATCGTCAGTGCGGTCCTTCTGTTCGAAGAAATAACAACAAACGACGGTTTGGCTATGTGATTCCATCTATTTAGCATGTTGAGATCGTTTTTGCACAGTACTTCTGCGATATCCTTATAGGTCATTTAATCTCAATCTAATTTATATTCTAACGCGATACATGGTACATGAAGGGCCATGAACCTTTGGCCAACCGTATGTTTCACGCCAGAGATGCACGCATGATGATGAGCACGACGTAAAAGCCGAATAGCCGCCTGTGAAACTTCGTTAAAACAGAAATTTAAACAAAAAACGTTAAAAAAACAGAAAATTAGGTGTGTGTAAGATCGAATTTGCTTTCTGAAGGCGCGAGTCACAGTATCTGATCCGTAATTACTATATTCGGAGTTGATTAATGTTGTAACCCCCAGATGAGGCATTCGGTTAAATGGTGTAAGGTAATGCTGCGATCCATTTGGTTGGGAACAACTCTTTTGCTTATTGAGTAGTCAAGCTTCCCTTAAAAACTTTTTTCACGTATATACAAATATTTTTCCTAAATAACTTAATAGGACAAGACAGATTGACTTTGTTGTTATCTTTAATTTCGATTCTTCTCAATCTTAAATTTTAATTGGCCTTCCAGCTAAAGCTGCTTCTTCTCCCGGTCGTCGTGAGCGCCCTGCATCAATGTACGACGAACCAACGAGCTCATCGTCAGTCTTTGAAAGGGAATTTCATCAAATGAATTCGAAGTCCACGTGGGATCTACATGAATCCCGACTTCAGGTAGACAAAAATACGGCACAAGTTCATGCCAAGAAAACGGCGCCCCACAGCATTATCACGAACTGCAAATACATGGACTCCATTTTTGTCGGACCCCGCGGCTTTAGGATCTTCTACTGAACAGAATATTGGTAAATGATAGCCATACTGTATGTGCTTACAATAGAGCCTAGTTTCTCCATAACAATTAAAAATAGAGCTCAGTTTTATGCAAACTGGGCCCCATTTTTAATCATTTGGCGTGAATTTTAAACGCACTTTGAAATTTTCCCAGAAGCAGCTTTTCATTAACGAGGAGTAGACTTTTTACGAGAACTACATTGATAATCTTCATTGATGCATAATAAGTTCAATACTTTAGCTAAAGACTATGCTAGATCTGTATATGTTGGTTTTAATACATAACTAATATTAAAATTAAACGAACTGTTAATTTACACTATTTCTGGTTCTGTAAACAGAACTTATCCTGTCACAAACTAAGACATTACAACGACGCTGTATCGATTATAAGTTACACTCTTTGGAATTACAGCCTAATCAACTGTTTGTTGTATAATATTATATAAACATCAAGTTCTGTTACCTTTTTAAATCTTAACTTATTATTACTGTAAGACATATATGTCAGATGAATAATGCTGTAAAGGCATCCCAGGAGTCAGCCGGTCTTGCTGAATCCTTTAAATCTTAATGGACCACACATTAGTTATGTTGTCTATACCAAAACGGACTCACACTTTCGGTCATCGACGTTCGGAGAATCGATGTACGTTACGGATTCAGCTAATAAATGGTACGAACTTCCTGTAACAATTGGAGTTCATTATTTTAAAATGGAAATTGAACTTCCGCAAGTATAATAGATTCTGTCTTGCCAAGCTACAGCTGTTAACAGTCGTGGGAGCAGAACACCAACGGTACTTTGAAGGGTCTCTAGGCAATAGGTATGAAAAAACATACGTTCGAAGACAATATTGTAGAACGATTTTATTCAGTCTGATCAAATTCAGATCTGCTCTTCATGTCCTCTAAAGAAACACGCTGATTCAATTTGTTGTTACAAAGGTATTATGTCGGAACAGAAAAAGAAGGCACTATCTGCAACACTCTTCCGATGAACAACGTAAATAATTCTGTTTTCCCGTACATCGTTATTTATTGATAGCGCTTAAGACATCAGTGCAGGAAGCTCCACAGGGTCTATTGGCGCCCATATCGATAATTATCGCCAGACTGGCCACTATCGTACCGCTTATTTTCTGCTTCTAGCGAAATACTAACATGGCAATGTTGGCGTTCGTAAGGTTGATCAATGGAAAACCAGACGAGTTCAACATAAAGAGCTAGGAAAGCATCAAATGTTTCCTTTTTGCTTCATCAGGATCAATACCACATTTTTACTTGTCACTGTTATCTAACTGCATTCGAGATAATTCTCACAATGAGTTTAACACAGGAAAAGCTCAAAGCTGAGCTGAGAAACAAGCAGATGGCTATTAAGAAAAGTGGCGCGCCTTTCGATTGTTGTTCTAGGCACAACCGATCGCGTGCTTGGCTAAATTGTTACTTGCCCCTTACATCCTCTCTATATAAATGCGTGAATATGGATGTTCCAGAATCGTTTTTAGGAAGAATACAAAACAACTGTTACTATGTGTGAAACAGTTCGCTCAGTAATGATCTAGTTAAATTAACGATTCCTTTCACTATACAACTTTTAGAAACTTTCGCTCTTAATGGCCAGCAGTGCTAAACTGGCTGAAATCAAATTGGTGCCTACACGATAATGCAATAAAACAAACAAATTTAATGTGTTATTAAGGGAAACATTTGACAAAAGCAAATAGTGTAGCATCGATCCGACTCGTTCTGAGGCCGGTTCCGGACTTGAAAGTTGACTCTCAATCATATAGAATCTATAAACCGGTTTGAAAGTAAAATATCGTTAAATCAAATCGAGTAAAGGACCAATTTTTAATTAGGATAATAATAGGACCTTCTAAAGTAGCCTTTAAAACAGCTAAAGCAGGAGCCAGAGGAGTAATGACACACAATGAGCATCGGTCATTAAAACAAGTGTATTTATGTCTCATTTTGTACTAGCGTTGCTATTATCATAAAAGTTTGTCCTAACCGGATTAGCAATGCTTGGTCTACCATCCGTTGATGAAATCCGCTGACATAGTAGTCAGAATAATACAGGAAGGCGATGTCGAAAAAAGCATTAAGACGACCCTTTCTTACAGATCGCATTATTGTGAGACTATCATACGAAAATCGACTGCAGTGATTTTTCTAATAAGTATCCGTCGACATGTTCTAGTCAAAGGTTGCGTCTGCAGTTAGACCAACCGGCAAAACGTGTCCTAAAAAGACCGAGGCCCGATCAAAGGCCGATCCTAATGCTTTCCGTAAAGGGATGCTCTCAAAACTCAGCAACTTCGTTAACTTTGGACCAGTGCCATAAAATTCACAATGGCAATTAGCTATAATGTTTCTTATTGATTGCACTGTATCATATTATAGTGTTGGTGGGTATTAGTCGGTAAACTTGTTGCATTTTCGACTTAATGTAGGAATAACAATATAATAATTATATAAAAAGTGTAACTGCTTTTGACTCATCGTTAGCGATTTCATAAATGCCCTCTCTTGAAGCTGCCTAATAAATAAATAAATGCCTATATTAAGGGGAAAGTTCGTGAAAATGAAGAAAAACGTCCCTAATCATTTTGCGACTTACATGTATCTATCGCCAGTTAGGTCGTTGAATAAGCTCTTAAAATTAGTTTTTTTCGAGATTTTTTTGTATTTTGTTGGACTCGTTGGGTGCTTAGAGCCCTTTGACCTGCTACCAGGCCAAAATGTAATCTCGCTGGAATTTTTTTGTATATAGCCGACTGGGGTGACAACTCAATGAATATACATGTAACAATATAGCTTGATATGCAGCCATAGTTAAAAAGTTCTATATGGATTAAAGAAGTTATATTGGTTGGCTTTAAGTTCTAAGGCGTAGTTTACAATATCAGCCGAATAAAGGCTAGAATAAATCAGCGCATGACCATCAAAAAGTTAACATAACTATAGTTTACTGTTTATATACAACAGTTCTAAAAAATACTAATTAATTATTAATAGTAGTAAGGCACTTTAGGCGGATGAGCCTATATACGCATTTGAACCAATATGGACGCGCGACAAAGGGAAATTTACAAATGAAATCCCTTGATGTGAACGCTTCTATGTTTTATCAATACGAACTTTTTAGCCCTTTAAATTCTAGACAGCATATCATCGAATGATGCAGCAAATATCACCCTTATAACTGCCTGCCCTTAAGTTTGCGCTGAACCAAAAGACTACAAGAAAAAACCTGCGCCTACGTACATTAGCGAGTAAGATCTTTGTGACCCGCGTGGTGCGAATGTCGTATCGAAACGTGCCAGGTGTCGCAGACCTTCGATAAGATTGTCGACTGGCTGCACAGACACGCGATCACGAACTTCGAATATCTCTGTTTTACCTCGTAGACGATTGATAGGAATGTGCATAGTATTTACATGTCTGTAGTTGGGTTTTGTGAGCTGAATTTAGAATCCGCTTCAATCACCACGGCTGCCCGTGCGTTTAATCTATCAAACTTTATATTAACACCGTTCTATAACAATAATAACGGCGGTGACTACAATAGAAATAAGGTATATACTTATTTTAGTCACACTTCGGGTATTACTCATGTTAAAGCGATTAAAGATGTCAAGGCAAAGCGTATGCCGATGAACTGAATACGCGTAACACAAATTCGCTGCGTGAGTAACTAAGCTAGAATCGTCCGTACGTTTTATAAAGATTCGCTACGTAGCTCGATTTGGATTTGTTCTTAAAAAACCGGATGCAACCGTTCCTTAAAAAACCGGATGCAAAATACAAATAACAATGAAAGTAATTACACAACTATATCATCTATCGACAAGCTGATCTATTGGCTTGTCAATAAAGTACTGGCCAGACGGTCTTAAGGCCATATGTCCTAGGTAATCTGAGTCGCGTTGGCTCGGAGTTAGTCTTGGCTGAAGACTAAAATTTGAAAATTGCTGGAATCCCTTTGTTCTTATTTAAATTTTATTGAAATGTTATGTTGATATGATGAAGGCTGGCTAGTTTCGCAAAAGATGCGTGCCACTTATGGCTAAGGTATGCGCGATCGGATGAAACTTCCCATAGGTCGTTATGTCGCTTTCGCTCTAGAAGTTCCGGTGTGAAGGAGGCTCTTTGTAGTGACCAATTAATTACGTAAACAAACGATATAATTATAGCGAAAGTTAAGCAGGATTAACACGTTAGAAGCTACGATATCGCCGACCAGCTAAAAGTCTATTGTCAAACAATTTTACGAAAAACGCTAGCTATATATAATATATGGGCTGGCTGTATAGAAGTGCCACATATAATAATTTTTTTGATCGTATTTCCATCCGTGAAACTCCACAAAACGCCAGAGAGTCCAGTCATTTCTAAATGCGTTCATTACGAATGATGAAAGGTGGATCATATACGTGCAAATAAACAGAAATTGATTTTACGATCTGTGGTAAGGCCCAGACAGATATTTCTCCCTGATTTCCTAGCGGCTTTGCCGACTGCATGCTGAAAAGCATGAAGCGTTTCAGAAAACTTGTTTTATGTACATTCGTTTTGACGAAGCAGATCACTATTTTCTGCTCCCCGGTGGCATCTATTTCTCTTACTATTTCGCCATCACTTTACGTACAAAAATACGTCAAACTACCAGAAAACACTAAAATCCCAACAAGTCAAGTACACTTTAGCAGTACTGTTTAGTTATTCAGCGTCGGCAAACATCATTTCAGATGGTGAGACGGAAGACACCGGCTGTACGTAACAATACGAAAATGCTGGTCTAGCTGAAATTCACTTATTACGCCCGCAATCGCGAAAATACGATATTTCAATTTTTCTGCTGACTTTGTCAGTAGTCTGAAAATGTGTGCCAATATTTTTTATCGACATGTAGAGTACCAGTGTAAAGTAGAGTAATGTTACTTCATAGGCCGAAAACCGTCTAAAAATGTTCCGTGGTTCTCGAAGTTTGAAACTATTTGATTGAATTTATTTGAATTTGGCGCCAACTGTATAATATATATAGAAGTCTGAATAGAAACTTTAAGGAGCATTGATCTACTAACACGTTCAGTGACTCGTAGAAGTTATTTGAGCTCTTAGTGTAGCATCGCTCCATGCGACTGTATGCTCTAAATCTTATACTCATAGTATAACAAATATAGGCTTCTAACACGGTAATTTTTTGTAAAAGTTTCAAAGCA